AAGATAGCAGAAAAACTGCTGTTTTGCTAAAATTTCAAAATTCCCCCTTAAAAACATTATATAGTTGAAAGAAATCGAAATGACACTTCAAAATGTTCATATTTTAACATAATTGCTCTTAAAACAAACAGTTCGCTTTTCCACCAACGGGAAATACCTTATTTTATTATACCACAGAATTCTTTCATCCGGGTTTTTTTTTTCTAGTAACACATTTGATAGTACAGGACAATATGGCGTCCTGTGCTGTGGAACACACGGAATCCGGGATTTTATCAAACATACAGGGATACGAATAACTGCTTTTGTTTTTATATTTGTAGTAATTCATGGCACTAAAAATTATAATTGATTAATTATTTCATATATATGATGACCAATTTATTGATTTAACCTTTAGCTCGAAATGTGATAGGGGCCTACTTTAAATGATTCCGGGCATACCGGATACCAGGATTTTTCCGGATCACTGTTGTGACACCTGACAGCGTTAAATGAATTATCTTCTCTTATTTATATTTGCTACTGCGATAGTAACGTAGTAGATTATGGAAAAGAAAACCCGATATATTAACGCTTTTGTCAACATGTTCATTTCTAATATTTTGCAGAGAAAAGTTTTGTGTGATATTTATTATATAAAGCAGATAATTCTATGTAATAATGTTTAACTATATGGTATATAGATTAAATATGTGTAGAAATACATGTAGTGGTGGCACTGTTTATTTGTTAATTACATTTTGCCTTTTAGCTGAGCATTTGTTATTCAGCACTGAATTGGGTAAATGCCTGAATGTGTCTTTGGAAAGAAACCTAGATATTCCTTTAGGCCATTTTTGGGTGCACTGTGATTTTTAGACTTCAACTGTCTTTACTTGTATTTAAAGTGAACAAATGAAGGTCATCAAATATTTATAGAAAATGGGTTGAATGACCTTGATATTCCTCCATGCCATTTGTGGGTCTGGGTGTCTCATTAAATTAAATTTTTATGTCATGAATTTCTCATTATATTTAAAAACTAAAACTAACATTATGAAATATTTGCAGAGACTGGGTTACACAACAGAGGTACAGATGAGTGAACTGGGACAACCTAAAGGTCGTGGAAATGTTAACACATCTTACATTGCAGACAAAAACAGGATGAAAACAAAGGTAATGTGAACAAACTGGTCTATAAAGTTTACTTATATACTCACTCTAAGCAAGCTTCCTATCTGTCCCATAATAAAAATACAGGTCATTATTAAGGATTTATACACGGCATAAAAAAAAGGAATGCTTACACGTCATAATAAATCAGATTTGACATTAATCAAATAGCGTCGGGGAAAATTACTTTTCCACTCAGTGTAATTGGATAATATAATTATCCTTTCTCTTTCTGTGTGCTTGTATGAAAATAGATATTATTTTTCTTGCTTGTAGTAAAGGTTTATTGTTCAAATGCTTTGCAGTTATATTTTATGTGCATTTTATATTGAACTGTGCACTATTTTACAACAATACTCTCAAAATTGATATCTATTATATAGATTATTCTATCAGTCAGTACCTAGTAAATTAAAGCATAAAAATCTTTTCTGAATTTACTGTACTTATGTTGTAACTGTTTGACACATTTAAGCAAGATTTTTCACTAACTCCTTTTTGAAGAGCCTTACCTAAATTGATCATACTGTATTTGTTGCTTAAAACTTTCCTAGCTTTTTTGTGTAAAAAAAATTCTTGTAATAATATCCATTGTAAATGTTGGCGATTTTAAAATGAAATAAAAATTATCAGTCCACACTATTTGAAGGTGCGACTGACTGCCTATTAAATGTGGATTTCCTCCTTCCTGTCTGTCTTGCAGTTAAAAATTGAAAAATTTAGATGCAAAAATATTTAATATTACAAATAGTAAGAGATTGAGGTAGGTGATGCATGTATAGAAAATCATCACCTTAGTGCAATAACTGGTTAACTCCTATTAAATTTAAAAGGACTTAACCTGTTAAGGCATTAAGGTGACAAAATGTAACTTGGTAATGACATGTTGTATCAAAGTTTGATATATGATTTATTTCACAAGTGTTCCTTTATAGTATTACATGTTGCGCAATATATTAAATGAAAACTAGGTATGATGTACATGTATGTATATTTTGTTACAGGTTGTATCGGAACATGTGGATGAAATCATAAAAAATGAGACGTTTGAACGAACAATAGGAAACTTTGATAGTAATTTCTCCCGTCTCTTACTTGAACTTCTAGAGAAAATCATGGAGTTTTCCACCAGTAATGTCGAAGTTAAACTTCTTAATATTCTACATAGGTAAAAAATTACATTTTCAATATTTGTGCCTAATTTGTAGAACAGACATGAATCATTCAATGACAATTTAGTTTATTTCGATTTTATGACAGAATATGCTCTAAGGAAAGTTAAGCACAGCACTTTATATTGCTTTAATTTAACCGTTACCATACTAAATATCTTGAATGACCTTTTGCATCCTTTAGTCAGTCCAAAACCTTTCGTCATTTTTAGGGAAAATTTTAAAAACAAGTATTGACTGAGTAGAGAACAGTGCAGACCATGATCAGAGGGAACATCTGTGTTGATTTTGGTCTGCTCTTGTCACATGGGTAAAATCTGTTATGGACAGCAGGCTAAAGGCTTAAGAATGTTAAAGCAACTGACAGCATTTTACAAGGATGAAGTTTTTGTTGGCTTGTCTATTTGAAGAATAGGAGAGCTATTGTACTCACCTGTGTCAGTGTCACCATTACACTTTGGTTAAGTTTTTCATGCAGATTTGTATCTTAAAAAAAGTTTTGAGAACATTTTGGGTTCTTTTGGAAACTTAGAAACATTCTCATTACCAGGTCCGCTTGTTACTAAGGGTCGCAGCTGACAGCTCTTTGTTTTTTTTAAATACTGTAATTATAATTAAAATATTAAAATAAATAGTAAATTTAGTAATTAAATAAATGGGAGTCAAATGCAACAGAGTACAAAATTTATGATATTTTAATGGATTTGGGAAGCATAGCTGTTATATTTGTGATTGTTGATTTAATTTTACAAGTGGAAAAAATTTCAATCCTAACTCCCTAAAATGAGCTTTGTTATAATTTTGGGATAATTGAATTATAGGTTGGATTTTAATGGATTTTACACGGAGAAATTAGAAGCCCTGTCAGCAGAGAAAGCTGTCCTTGATACATCAACTCATAGTTCTGAGTCAGGTAACATGCTCTTTATAATTTTATCATGATAAACCAGTTTATACATCTATATTGTTATATGAATTGTACATATATAAGAGCTTGCAAGAGTTATCAGTTCATGAAGACAGACATTAAACAAGTCTAGTAATAGTTATAGAGCAAGTTTTATAAACGGGGTCTGAGCATTTTTAAAAATTAATCTATATTGGAAGTGAAAAATTAAATATTTATCACAGATTTGTTAAACAGAAAATTGTTAAAAAAAGGCATGTTTATGAGTGAAAAAGCCAATTTGTTAACATTCTAATGCTAAATAATTTATAAAAATAATATTTTTCAAATATGTACAGACTGGAAATAGGGAAAACGGTGCACTATTTAAAATTGGGGATAATTTAAATTCCAATTTGGGTGGTAAGCAAGTGGGGCAACATGCGGGTTTAATGGTGTGGAGAAAAAATTTATAATAATATAATTACAAAAAAAACAATGGTGTGATAAATAGTACTTAAATAAAGTAAGGGTTTAATGCTGTTAATCAGTGGAAATGTTAATTGTAGCTTTATCCTGGTCATAATTTAATATATACCTATTGTAAAAGCTTGCCTGTCTCTAAACAATGAGTTTATAGCTTTGAAAAGTATTTATTCAAGCCTGCTTAAATAGCATAGTAGGGAGGGTATTTGATGTAATGTTGCCTTAAGCTTTTGTTGATATTATGGACAATGTCATTTGTCCTTGCATTTGACTATATGTGGAGAAGTTGGCAATACTTGTGGTAATATACATGTATGTTAGCAATGATACACTGTGTTACAAAGAGTCCAAATTATTACTGATATTTGGTGAAAAACTGTTTACAATAGGCGCTCGACATATGCATTATACACATAGAAATGAATGCTTATTTTAGCTGTATGTATTTTTATGCTCTCAGAAACAATCCAATTCAAGTTTTAGGATAATTTTATCCTATTGTTTTCCTGTTCTTGCCTCACACTTGTCACTTCTCATAGCTCTTTTATTGACATTGATATCTCAGGTATTTAATGTATTTATCACTTTCCATAGATTTCAAATTGAATGGTTCTTTCACTGATGCTTAAATTATGTTTTCCTAGTTAACTTTAATGTAAGGCCATATTTTTATGCCGTTGGAGTCATAGATAAGGTGTGGTATTTTTTTAAGTCTGTCTGTCTGTCTGTCTGTCTGTTTGCTACAAATATAAACCTTGATCATAACTCAAAAGCCCTTCCACTATCAAGTCCTCAAATTAAACAGGTGCACCTTGATGTCAGAGCTTCACCACCTGCCAGACCCACTTAGTGGTCATGGGATCAAAGGTTAACATCACCAGGAGCATGGCATTCATTTGAACAAATTTCTTGTATTCTTTGAGAATGCAATACCAATATTTTTGTTAAATAAATTATAAGTTATGGTATTGTAAGTTAACCATATTACAAAAATGTTATGTATATGATTATTTGAAATTTCAGGCTAGAAGTTAATGCTAGGTAATTTTGTTGAAAAGAGTTCAGTTTCTAGTTAACTAAAACTTAGATTGGATGAGGTTGCTTAACTTGTTAGCTGTCAGCTATATAAGGTTAATTGTGAAAAAGTCTGATGTACATTTGAAAGTCATAAGTTTATCATATAGAAGTGGTTGTTACAGGGTCTAGATGTTTTGTTATGCTGTAGACCCACATTTTGTCGATTTCACAACCAATAGCACAGGTTCAAATTCATCTAAATAGCATACTTGTAAATGGCAAAATGTAAATTACCTCGTATGTAAACTTAATGAGATAAAATAATGATTTAAAGTGTTTATGCCTGTAATACATGATCAGAATGAAGTGTAGGAATTTTATGTCAACAATAATTTTTAAAGATTCAGTGACAAAAGTTTACAAGCTATTATTTTATAAAGAAGTTGAAGGTAATTTAACCACATGAAATATTACAATAAAATGATTTTTATGCCACCGCAGCATCTGCGATGCGGTGGCATATAGCGATTCACCTGTGTGTGTGTTTGTTTGTGTGTGTGTGTGTTATATAGATTATATAGTGAACTTAAAAAATCTTCTTGTGAAAAACCACTAGTCCAATTTCAACCAAACTTGGCAGGATTGATCCTTGGGTGAAGGGGTTCCAAAGTTGTTCAAAGAATTTCATTCCATGCAGAAATCTGGTTGCCATGGCAACCAAAAGGAATTAAAAGAATAAATTTAAAAAATCTTCTTGTAAAGACCCAAAAGGCCTAGAGCTTAGATATTTTTGCATAAGGCATTGTCTGGTAGACCTCTACCAAGATTGTTCAAATTATAGCCCTGGGGTCAAAATCGGCCCCGCCCCGGGGTCATTGATTTTCACTAATATGTACATATAGTAAAAACTTAAAAATACCTTCTTGTAAAGACTGAAAAGGTCTAGAGCTTAGATATTTTGCATTAGGCATTGTCTGGTAGACCTCTACCAAGATTGTTCAAATTATATGCCCTAGGGTCAAAAATTGGCCCGGCCCTGGGTCATTGATTTTCACTATATGTACATATAGTAAAAACTTAAAATACCTTCTTGTAAAGACCCAAAAGGCCTAGAGCTTAGATATTTTGCATAAGGCATTGTCTGGTAGACCTCTACCAAGATTGTTCAAATTAATAGCCCTGGGGTCAAAAATCGGCCCCGCCCCGGGGGTCATTGATTTTCACTATATGTACATATATTAAAAACTTAAAATACCTTCTTGTAAAGACCCAAAAGGCCTAGAGCTTAGATATTTTGCATAAGGCATTTGTCTGGTAGACCTCTACCAAGATTGTTCAAATTATAGCCCTGGGGGGTCAAAATTGGCCCGGCCCCGGGGTCATTGATTTTCACTATATGTACATATAGTAAAAACTTAAAATACCTTCTTGTAAAGACCCAAAAGGCCTAGAGCTTAGATATTTTGCATAAGGCATTGTCTGGTAGACCTCTACCAAGATTGTTCAAATAATAGCCCTAGGGTCAAAATTGCCCCTGCCCCTGGGGTCATTGATTTTCACAATATGTACATATAGTAAAACTTAAAATACCTTCTTGTAAAGACCCAAAAGGCCTAGAGCTTAGATATTTTGCATAAGGCATTGTCTGGTAGACCCTTACCAAGATTGTTCAAATTATAGCCCTGGGGTCAAAATTGGCCCGGCCCCGGGGGTCATTGATTTTCACTATATGTACATATAGTAAAAACTTAAAATACCTTCTTGTAAAGACCCAAAAGGCCTAGAGCTTAGATGTATTTTGCATAAGGCATTGTCTGGTAGACCCTTACCAAGATTGTTCAAATTATAGCCCTGGGTCAAAATCGGCCCTGCCCGGGGGGTCATTGGTTTCCTTATATGTATATAGTAAAAAACTTATAAAAAAAAAATTCTTCTAGCAATTGACAAATGCTAGAGGTTAGATATTTTGCATGAAACATTGTGAAGTGAACTTCTAGCAAGATTGTTGTTGAATTATAGCCCTGGTGTCAAAATTGCCCCCGCCCCAGGGGTCATTGATTTTAAATATATATATAGTAAAAAAAATCTTATTGTCCTGAAGGTACAAGCTTAGAGCTTTAATATTTGTTAAATGATATCATCTATAGGAACTCTACCAAAGTTGTTCAAATTTTGCCCTCTAGTGTCAAAATTAGCCCCGCCCCGGGGCCATAGGTTTTCCTTATATGTATAAAGTAAAAACTTAAAAAAATCATCTTCTTTAAATTTACAAAGACTAGAGTTAAGATATTTTGCATGAAACATTATGTAGTGAACCTCTAGAGCAAGATTGTACAAAATTATAGCCCTGGGGTCAAAATTGGCCCCACCCCCAGGGGTCATTGATTTTCACTATTATAGTAAAAAATAAAAAAATATTTTTGTCTGAAGGAACAAGGGATAGAGCTTTGATGTTTGCTATATAAATATCATCTATAGGTCCTCTACTAAAGTTGTTCAAATTTTTTCCCCTGGTCTCAAAAATCGGCCCTGCCCGGGGGCAGTGATTCTCATTATGTACACATAGTAAAAAAAAGAAAATAAAACAAATGTTTTCTGAATGGGAAAAGCTACAGCTTAGATATTTGACTTGAAATGTTGTTTGGTGGAACTGTATCAAGATTGTTTTGAATTAAACCCTTGGGTCCAAAAATTTTGCCTTGCCCAAGGGGACAGTGACCTACTTTCTTGTCCTTTGATGTACAGCAATGAAATTTTGACCATGTGCACAAGTTTTTAGTTGTAGAATTGAACTTTGATATCAGGTGACCTAGATTTTGTTGATGTGACCTAAACTTTCTTGTCCTTTGATGTACAGCTATGAAATTTGAACCCTGTGCACAGATTAAGATGTAAAGTGAACTTTGATTTCAGCTGACCTAGATTTTGACAAAGTGTCTTACTGTGTTGTCCTTTTGATGTAGTCATGAAATTTAGGCTGTGTGAAATATGACCTTCACCACCAAATTCACTAGACTCGAGTGCATTGATATATTCCTACTCTGGTCCTTTTATTGAGTTAACATTAGATGTTACAACACTTATCTGATAATAAGAATAAGATAGGTCAGGGATCTATGCTTTATGACAATCTTCAAAATTGTAAAGAAACAAAAAAAATCTGTTCCTACACTACTATTTAGTGTTGTATTAATGCGGTGGCATAGCATTTTTCTCAAATGCAATCTTGTTGATAACTGATACAAGTTGGTCACGTAATGCACATGTTGCTAGCTAAAACTGGACTGTAATTTGACCCTTACTATTTTAATATTAATGGGCCAGTCCATCTTTCAAACTAGACAAAATCATTCATCGTTTTAGAGATTATTTAAAAATAAGTATGACTGAATAGCAGACAGTGCAAACCATGGATGTGTCAGCTGATCTTGGTCTACACTGGTTGCATGTGTAAAGTTAGTTAAAATAGTAAATAGTAAATTTAGTTATGGACAGCAGGCTTAATGTATTCAGAAAACAAAAGTTCTATATCATTTTTGAAATGAGATGGTTTTATCCTGAAAATAAGAAAAAAAAGAGAGGTACATGAAGAAGGAACATTTTAAACTGTTCACAGTTCATGTGAAGTTATAATCCATAAACAGGATATTTAATATATATTTGTGTTAGTTACGCTTTAGGCAATTTTGCTTTGCAATTTAGAAAGAATTTGCATAGAAAACTAGCTTCAAAATGCTTTATAGTTGGATTTTTAAACAATTGCATAGTATGTGTATAGTTTTTGAATTTACAAAATGTGTAGAATGTTGTGAAAGACATATCTGTTGCTTGTAGAGTAGGCATGTAAGAATCTTACACTAGCTACCAGTACAGACTGGAACGACTGGCTTGTGAGTCAACTGTTTAAAGCAGTAATGAGGATGCTATCATACAATTTCCTTGTTGAACAGTTACCTAAGAGCTGGGTGTCGAATCTGTGACAGCAGCTTGAGTTTCATATTTTCTTGCATATATTGTATATAATTGTAGCTAAAAGAAAATAGTAAAAACTCAGGATTTTTTAGAACTTTTTTTTCTAAAAGTATAGTATGAATTTACTACATTTGTATTCATTCATTTTGGCCAAATGATGTCATCTTAAGGGGTGTAAGATGACTTTCAAGCATTGATGGGAACTCTAGAAAATCCAGTCTGATATGCAAGAATACAAAGTTATGGTTGATTTTTACTAGTTTGCATGTTGTTATTTGTTTGTTTTTGAATTTTTTCTAATATTCAGATATTCTTTAGGATTCTAGGAGGAGCATTTTTGGGGGAGGTATTATGAATATATTATGGGTTACTCCTTTAGACACATTATTCTTGTTTTATCACTTTATATTAAGACTAAATCCAAGTTTATAGCTTTAACCATTTATACTATTTATAGATTTCTGATTTTAAGAGTACAACTTTGTGTTGAATATAAATGTTTAACAAGCCCCTTTTATGATGTAAACCATTTACACAGTTTTATTATTGTTTTCTTCATTGATGATATGTTAAATGTTTTCTGAAATTTATCTAAGAGAAGCTGCAGGTTAGTCAAAACCTACTTTACTAAGTACTCTGTGAATGTTTAATAGGTGAACTTGTGTATCCAAGAAACTGCATACCGGTAGTATAAGTTGGTATAAAGCTATATCTAATGAAATATTTTTATTAATCTATAAAAGGTTAAACTATGTTGCTTTCATAATCTTACAGTTGATTCCCAGGGGTTGTAAAATAAGAATGCTTTGTAATTTAAGTCACATAAAAGATTATAGATAAACTAAATAAATATTGCAGGAACAAAATGTTATTTTAAGTAGCATTTATTTAGCATTGATTTTGTGCTCCTGCCATCACAGGAATTTTGGAAGTATTCCTTTTCAAAATTCAAACATTAATTCTGTAAACAAAAACAGATATTTAATAGACTTTTAAATGATTTATTCAATTTGAGAGGAAAGTCTATGCGTCATATATATGTTTAAATCTTTATTGTCAGATTTTGTTATAAGACTTTGAATATGAAAGCATTTTTACTACTTTTGTGTATTTCAGAGAATAGATTGTGATTATGTTTTGTATATTTATGTGTCCATGATCATGTGTAAAGTCAGTTTCAAATATATGGAGAAATTTTGTAGAATCTGTTTGTATCTTTTCCATATGTAGATAAATATTTGTATGAAATATATTGATAATGTTGTTATTAATCATATTTAAGGAACAACCTTTTATAACGTTGGTATAACTTTTGGTCCAACCCTATTTGTATGTTCATAGTTATTATGCTTAAGACAACAATGTTATATTGTGTTATAATGTATCATATACAAATATGTAATAAAATATAAATAAACTATCTTATTTCAGGGTCCACAGGTTCCTGGCCTACCACATCATTCACTACATCTCGACCTGACAATGTACGCTATGTGCCCGGGAAACATCTTGGTAGATACGGCTCTTCTTCTAATTCTGGCTCTACCAGTTGATAAATATATAAACATTTGTGTAACTGTAACATGGTTGAACTAGTGCAATGGACTTGCTTGATCTTCTATGAACTTTGGTTAGGGGGATGAGTAACTGATGGTAAAGTTAAGTCTGGCAAGACTTCATGACCAGGTTCTGTATTGATGGCATAGACTTATTATGATTGGTGCAAGTGCTAAAAGAAATAATATGTATACGCTTCCTGATAAATAAGTCCTGCCAGAAAACATTTGATTATATGTCAAGCAGTGTTCCAGTGCCAAATGAGATCAAAATAAATTTCATCAATGTGTATTTATGGAGGCCAGTAAGATTGTTTTGACATTGCTGATTTAAATTGATAAATTACTGTGTGATATAGATCTGCTTCAACATATTGGATCTGATATTTGTCTTAACAGTAAGAAACAAACAATTTCAGGATATTTAAGGTGAACAATATGCAGTATTGTGGATAAATGAATCTTTATTAATATGTTAATCTATAAAAAATTGAAATAAGGTATTTTTGTAATTGGCAGTGAATGTGTATTTTTTGCCAATGAAATATATGACTTTGACATGTTATTTATGCTTTGAATCTGACTTGAAATTTGTTCTTTGGACTGCTCATCATATACATGTATTATGGTTTCAACTTAATGATCTGATCCTAATGCATTGATGATATTTTATACATTCAAATAATGAAATATTTCTGTTAAAATGAAACAGTAAGACATTATGTAGATTCAAAATGTAGTATTGCTATAATTTTATACATGATGTATTTATGATGTACATACATGTATATGTAGTTCTTGTACATAAATATATATAGCTTTGAGATATTCTGTGATAATAAAATTGAGAATTTGATGATATGTGTACCTATTTGTTGATATTCAGTGAGTTTATACAGAATTAATTTTAGTTTGATTGTATAGGAAGGTATAAGCTTATAACAATCTGTAATCTGTCATTGTACGACATTAATCTGTCCGTGCACGACATTACATCAAATGACATTTGATAAAATACAAATGTACAATGATTTAAAGAATGGACAAATGATCGAATACAACAATCTAGAGAATGTAAATTTGATGGAAAGAATATTGTCAAATTTTGTAGAAAATATGTCAAAATGTGTGGAAAACACTTGAAAATACAAGAATATAAAATGCAGTTTATTGGAAAACAAAAGTAGATGGAAGTAATAGGGGGCACTTGATTCATTATCTATTCTAAATCAAATTGTTGTTCAATGTTTGATATTCAGTATCGAAAGTTTTATGCAACTCATAGTTCCTTGATTAAGAGTTGTGCTGGACAGTCATGAGAAGTAGACGCTAGCTCCTTAATTATGGCCATAAATTTTTATGCCCCCACCCCCAAGGGTGGCATAATATAATTGCACCGTCTGTCCGTCCATCTTTGAGTCCCCACTTAATTCGTGTCTGGACTGTAACTTTGTCATACATGGAGTGATTTTGAAATAACTTGGCACAAATGTCTACCACATCAAGACGATGTGTCGCGTCCAAGAATTACGTCCCTTCCTCGTCCATCTATGCGTCCCCACTTAATTCATGTCCGGACTGTAACTTTGTCATGCATTGAATGATTTTAAAATAACTAGTTTATAGGTACACACATTCGTGTCCAGGCTGTAACTTTGTCATGCATGGAAGAATGTTAAAATAACTAGGCATAAATGTCTACCACATCAAGACGATGTGTCACGTCCAAGAATTATGTCTACCTCAAAGGTCAAGGTCACACTATCATTTTGAAGTTTCACATTATCACAATTACAGTAAATAGATACACACAATCCTGTCCGGACTGTAACTTTGTCAGGCATTGAATGATTTTAAAATAACTTGGCATAAATGTGCATAATATAATCGCACCGTCTGTTCGTCCATCTGTCCGTCCCCATTTAATTTGTTTCCAGACTGTAACTTTGTCATACATGGAGGGATTTTGAAATAACTTGGCACAAATGTCTACCACATCAAGATGATGTGTCACATCCAAGAATCAACCACATCAAGACGATGTGTCGCGTCCAAGAATTACATCCCTACCTCAAAGGTCAAGGTCACACTATCATTTTGAAGTTTCACATTATTGCAATGAGGGACATTAGTGAATAACCTCCCCTGAGTACTCCCTATAAATAGATAGGTCCTAAGCTATTGGATTACTCGGACTTTATCGCCTATTTCTTTGTAGCAATCTAAAATTAATTAGGGCTAATTATGATCATTTGTAATAATCAGATTAAATATTGCGATAAGATGTAGAATCTGTTGACATTAATGAAGCATTTTTTTCATAAGGTTTACATATTTGTTGATGCATGTGGAAATAATTGATTAAGACATATCAACCTGTCTTACATAAAACTCAACGATAAAATCAAAGGATTCCAAATATTTGGACCTACATACATTTTGGTTAACCTCGGTTTTTATCAAGGGAAGATAATCCACTACTGTCCCTCATTAGAGTAACTTAATTCGTGACAGGACTGTAACTTTGTCATACAAGGAGGAATTAAAATAACTTGGCACAAATGTCTACCACATCAAGACAATGTGTCGCGTCCAAGAATAACGTCCCTACCTCGTTCGTCTGCCCGTCCGTCTGTGAGTCCCCACTTAATTTGTGTCAGGACTGTAACTGTCATGCATTGAATGATTTTAAAATAACTAGGCATAAATGTCTACCACATTAAGACGATGTGTCGCGTCCAAGAATTACGTCTCTTCCTCAAAGGTCAAGGTCACACTATCATTTTGAAGTTTCACATTATAGCAATTAGAGATAAAAGGTACACACATTTGTGTCCGGACTGTAACTTTGTCATGCATTGAATGATTTTAAAATAACTAGGCATAAATGTCTACCACATCAAGACCATGTGTCGTGTCCAAGAATTACGTCTCTTCCTCAAAGGTCAAGGTCACACTATCATTTTGAAGTTTCACTTTATCACAATTAAGAGTTAAAAGGTACACACTTTCGTGTCCGGGCTGTAACTTTGTCATGCATGGAAGAATTTTAAAATAACTAGGCAAAAATGTCTTACACATCAAGACGATGTGTCGCCAACAAGACCCATGTCCCTACCTTCAAGGTCAAGGTCACATTTATAGTTTGAAGGTACTCGAGAAGAGTTTGAAGATACACATTCATGTCCAGACTGTAACTTTGTCATGCATGGAAGGATTTTAGAAAAACTTGGCACAAATGTCTACCACATCAAGACAATGTGTCGCGGCTAGGTCATGTCCATTTGTCTGTGTGTCCCCACTTACACAACAATCATGTCCAGACTGTAACTTTGTCATACATTGAAGGATTTTGAAATAACTTGGCACACATGTCTATCTCATAAAGACATTTTGTCGCGTCCAGGAACCATGTCCCTTCTTCAAAGGTCAAGGTCACACTTATATTTTGAAGGTTCATCCTATCAAGAACAATATTCAACAATTAGTTACTTTCATTCTCTTTTCTTTTCATAATACCTGCATGCTTAAGAAACCTTTTCGGGGGCATTCGGCACTTGGGTGACAGCTCTTGTTTACTGTTATCTGAAGTCGTAATCAGCTGATCCTTGCAAGATTGAATTTTACTTTTCCAATTCACCGATTTTACATCATGAATATAAATCCTTGTAAAGCTTGTATGAAAATTTGGTATCTTATCAGCTCTTATTATTTGATAGCATGTGTATAACTCCAAAAACACTCGTCAATAACAGTACATTGAATTTTTATACCTTACATTAGTTTTTGAATACTCAAACTTATTCTACAGTATAGACTATATAATGGAAAAGACCAGCGATTAATCATAACAAAAGGAGAATATACTCTGACACTTTGTTGAAATCAAATGTGCTTCATTATTCAGTCAAGTGTCGCAGGTTTAAATATATTTGGATCGCCTGTCACCCTCTTATCATCTGTCCAAATGTTTTTTGATGAATAGTACCTGGAATCACCAGTTCTGAGCAATGACTTAAGTTTCTTGCTCAAATAACAGCTTGCCCCTAAAGGGGTTTGAAGCCACACAACCAGCAATCCTTAAAATTCCTAGTTAACAGGTTAATCTAATCACCATGTCACCACTTGATTCAGTTAAGGTATGCATATGGGGCCATCATAAAAAGACAATATACCAGCAACTAAATTTCAGCCCAAGTGAACATGACCTTGAGACTTTGAATCACTTGCCATATATCACTGTACATTTAAACCTAATGAGGGTCATTTCATTACTTCATGTAAGAAAGGAATCTTACAAGAGTGAAAGGGGGTAGTTTTTAAGTGGAATGCCCATTAGTTCCTCTGTGTATTAAAGAGATCTTATAAAACTGGAAAGTAACCAGGTGACCTTTGATCATTGATGTACTGATGCTCATTAAAAATCAAAGTACCTAAAGTACTGATTGAAGGCAATATTCGACTGTAACATTTAAATTAAATGTTATTAAACTATAGCCTTACATATTTTGATAAATCAATAAACCATTCATCAACAGGCTTTCACAATTCTGAAAGCGATGCGGTTACTAATTTTAACTGCTGGAAACCAATACCGAGTAGGTAATTTTTACGATTTGGATGACACACATGGCGTTGTCCATATAGCCAGCAGGTAAACTGGCAAAACAATCATTAAAATTGAGTCTAAATTATTTCCAGTTTACTTGTTTCAAATAACTCCAAATAGTTTTTTTTTTCTCTAACTCGGAATCACTTGTGACACATGATGACAAGACCATATTTCAAACCACTGGCCAACCAGAAAAGCAACCACTGACTTTCCATAGCAAAAATGACTTCCATAGCAATCAGTGACTTTATAGCAATCACTAACTTTCCTTAGCAACCACTGACATAATCTTCCATGGGAACCATTGACTTTCTTTAACAACCACTGACTTTCCCAAGCAACCAGTGACTTCAACAGCAAACAGTGACTTTCCTTAGCAACCATGGACAGTCTTTCATGGGAACCATTGACTTTCTTTAACAACCACTGACTTTCCCAAGCAACCAGTGACTTCAACAGCAACCAGTGACTTTCCTTAGCAGCCACTGACTTTCCATAGCAAACTTTCACTGACTGTCCTTAAAACCATTGATTTCCAAAGCAATCACCGACTTTCCCTAGCAACCCAGTGACTTCCATAGTAACCAGTGAATTTTCATAGCAACCATTGACTTCCAAAGCAATCACTAACTTTCCATAGCAACATAGTCTTCCGTGGAACCCATTGACTTTCCATAGCAACCACTGACTTTCAAAAGCAAATTTAGTCCTCCATGGGAACAATTGACTTTCCCTAACAACCACTGACTCCCTAGAAACTAATGACTTCTATAGCAACCACTGACTTTCCATAGTAACTAGTAACTTCATAGCAACCACTGACTTTCCTAAGCAACCACTGACTCTCCAAAGCAAATATAGTCTTCCATGGGAACCATTGACTTTACCTTACAACCACTGACTTCCATAGCAACCAGTGACATTTTGAAGCAACTAGTGACTTTCCTTAACAACCACTGACTTTCCATAGCAACAAATGCAACACATAGCAACCAGTGACTTCCATAGCAACCAGTGACTTTTCATAGCAACCACTGACTTTCCCTTGCAACAAGTGACTATCATAGCAAACAGTCTTCCATGGGAACCATTGACTTTCCCTAACAACTACTGGCTTTCCTTAGCAACCATCGACTTCCATAACAATCACTGACTTTCTATAGCAACCATAGCTTTCCATGGGTACCATTGACTTTCCCTAGCAATCAGTGACCTCCATAGCAACCATTGACATTTCATATCAACCACTGACTTTCCTTAGCAACCATTGACTTTCATAGCAATCACTGACTTTCCATAGCTACCATAGCTTTCTATGGGAACAATTGACTTTCCCTAGCAACTAGTGACTTCCATAGCAACCAGTAACTTTCCATAGCAACCAATGACTTCCATAGTGATTAGTGACTTTTCATAGCAACCACTGACTTTCCTTAGCAACCACTGACTTTTCATAGCAAACATACAACAAAGATCTCTTTAGAGTTTCATGTTTACTTAACATATTTCTTATACATGCTAGATTCTCTTCATTTAGTTTGACATGATGATTATTTACATCATTATTATATACATATATATATTAACAATTTCTACCTAATATCTCTTAAACAAAATAACAATAACATACGTGTATAGGACAAAATTTTGAACAGTTTTGTATGCATGTTCTATTATAGTAGGATTCTATATTTATACACACCACACACAAAAACAATGTCATATACAAATTTCACAAATTTTCACATGATATCATCGAAAGAAAAATATCTTAATGTAGTAAAAGTCCAATACTGGCATATAAACAATGAGGTGCTGTTTTAGTTGCACATATATTGTATGTTTATCTACATGTTATGCATATATGTGAACTCTCCCACTTTTAGCGGGAGACTCCCACTTTCTGCAGCCATATCTAGAACACATTTTACACAACCCTCAGTCTAGCTTTTTTATCACCATTAAAGCTGCTTGGGTTCAGATTCTTATTTTGTTTTTCCTACCTTTTTTTCAAACATCTGAGAACACAAGAGGACATTAATATAAACAAGAATGTCGAACGACACATATACCCCCCTTTCTAGCCCTTGACTCACATAATTGGTAATTTTATTACAGAAACTTGCCAAAAATGGGTACATGGAAGTGTTCAATTATGGAAAAATCAACGGAAACCATTTTGACATTTAAGGCCCATTTGACATTGACATTTGACCTAATGACCCCTAAATCAATGAAGGTCATCTACTACTAATGACCAATAAATAGGTGAAATATGAAGACTTTGTGATGAATACTTTTCAAGATAATCAGAGAAACCCTTTTGATATTAAAGGCCCCTGTGACCTTGACCTTTGACCCCAAAATCAATAGGGGTCATCTACTAGTTATGACCAATCACTATGTGAAATATGAAGACTTTGTGATGAATACTTTTCAAGATAATCAGTGAAAACCATTTTGACATTTTAAGGTCCCTGTGACCTTGACCTTTGACCTAGTTACCCCAAAATCATTAGGGGTCATCTACTAGTGATGACCAATCACTATGTGAAGTATGAAGACTTTGTGATACATACTTTTCAAGATAATCAGCGGAAACCATTTTGACATTTAAGGCCCCTGTGACCTTGACCTTTGACCTAGTGACCCCAAAATCAATAGGGGTCATGTACTAGTTATGACCGATCACTGTGTGAAATTTGAAGACTTTGTGATACATACTTTTCAAGATAATCAGCGGAAATCATTTTGACATTTAAGGTCCCTGTGACCTTGACCTTTTACCTAGTGACCCCAAAATCATTAAGGGTCATCTACTAGTGATGACCAATCACTATGTGAAGTATGAAGACTTTGTGATACATACTTTTCAAGATAATCAGCGGAAACCATTTTGACATTTAAGGCCCCTGTGACCTTGACCTTTGACCTAGTGACCCCAAAATCAATAGGGGTCATCTACTAGTGATGACCAATCACTATGTGAAATATGAAGACTTTGTGATACATACTTTTCAAGATAATCAGCGGAAACCATTTTGACATTTAAGGCCCCTGTGACCTTGACCTTTGACCTAGTGACCCCAAAATCAATAGGGGTCATCTCCTAGTGATGACCAATCACTATGTGAAATATGAAGACTTTGTGATACATACTTTTCAAGATAATCAGCGGAAACCATTTTGACATTTAAGGCCCCTGTGACCTTGACCTTTGACCTAGTGACCCAAAATCAATAGGGGTCATCTCCTAGTGATGATCAATCACTATGTGAAATATGAAGACTTTGTGATACATACTTTTCAAGATAATCAGCGGAAACCATTTTGACATTTAAGGCCCCTGTGACCTTGACCTTTGACCTAGTGACCCCAAAATCAATAGGGGTCATCTCCTAGTGATGACCAATCACTATGTGAAATATGAAGACTTTTGTGATACATACTTTTCACGATAATCAGCGGAAACCATTTTGACATTTAAGGCCCCTGTGACCTTGACCTTTGACCTAGTGACCCAAAAATCATAGGGGTCATCTCCTAGTGATGACAATCACTATGTGAAATATGAAGACTTTGTGATACATACTTTTCAAGATAATCAGCGGAAACCATTTTGACATTTAAGGCCCCTGTGACCTTGACCTTTGACCTAGTGACCCCAAAATCAATAGGGGTCATCTACTAGTGATGACCAATCACTATGTGAAATATGAAGACTTTGTGATACATACTTTTCAAGATAATCAGCGGAAACCATTTTGACATTTAAGGCCCCTGTGACCTTGACCTTTGACCTAGTGACCCCAAAATCAATAGGGGTCATCTACTAGTGATGACCAATCACTATGTGAAATATGAAGACTTTGTGATACATACTTTTCAAGATAATCAGCGGAAACCCTTTTGACATTTTAAGGTCCCTGTGACCTTGACCTTTGACCTAGTGACCCCAAAATCAATAGGGTCATCTACTAGTGATGACCAATCACTATGTGAAATATGAAGACTTTGTAATACATACTTTTCAAGATAATCAGCGGAAACCATTTTGACATTTAAGGCCCCTGTGACCTTGACCTTTGACCTAGTGACCCAAAAATCAATAGGGGTCATCTACTAGTGATGACCAATCACTATGTGAAATATGAAGACTTTGTGATACATACTTTTCAAGATAATCAGCGGAAACCATTTTGACATTTAAGGTCCCTGTGACCTTGACCTTTGACCTAGTGACCCCAAAATCAATAGGGGTCATCTACTAGTGATGACCAATCACTATGTGAAATATGAAGACTTTGTGATACATACTTTTCAAGATAATCAGCGGAAACCATTTTAACATTTAAGGTCCCTGTGACCTTGACCTTTGACCTAGTGACCCCAAAATCAATAGGGGTCATCTACTAGTTATGACCAATCACAATGTGAAATATGAAGACTTTGTGATAAATACTTTTCAAGATAATCAGCGGAAACCATGTGGTCTACCGACGGACAGACCGACAGACAGACAGACAGACCGACATTTGCAAAACAATATACCCCCTCTTCTAATTACTAGTACCTATAATATTGATTACCTACAAATTTCCTTGTATAAAAATAATGTAAAAATATTTTACATAGGGATACTGACGCAATAACAGAAACACTTATATAAATACAACCCCTCACCTTTCATGTAAGAAAAAAAGTTAAAAAAAGATTCCATATTAAATTTAAAGATAAAAAAATTCCTAACAATGTCTGTGATTTGTTAAAATTACGTTCTGAAAAGTAAAAATATCATTCTGCATTCTGCTATTAACATGCCATTCATTTCATGAAAAAATCAAGTTTAATAATAATACTTTGTATAAAATTACAATAATTCCATCATATGATATTCAAACAAAATCCTTGACATTAGTAGTAAAATTACTGTTGTTAACAACTTATAAAATACAAATTCTATTGACCCTTGTTGAAAAATAAGAAATCTGCCCTTGAAAAATCACTTATACCTTGCATACAATATAAAAATAGACATAACAATTATATAATATCTAGCATATACTCAATTAAAACATTCAAATACAATACTTAATACATGTAGTGTATATTATCAATTTGAGACAAGTTACTCAGTGACATGCCACTCAATTAACTTATAAATAACCTGCATACAGATTTTGACCAGTGGGAATTGTTCTAAATTGACAATAAATAAATACTGAAAGAAGATTTCCCTAGTTTTACTATATCAAACTATAGCTCACTTTCATTTCTTATCTACACCGGAGTTTGAAAGCTTTCAATGTTTTATTCTCATGAATCGTTATTAGGTTTTTGATAGACTTTGGAAGTTGTAAAATATGTCAATGATGGGTGAATGACCATGAAAAGCTTCTGTTAAGGTGCCTTGTTTTGACAGTGTATGGGGTCTGTTATTAGTTCAGTTCTACATAATTTATGTTAAATATTGTACTGGTAAACTTATAATAAGCTGTTACAATGAAATATTTGATTATGCAAAATATCTTTAAAAAAAATTACACAATATTAAAATAAACTCAATTTTATTGACAACTGGAAATTTCCCAGTATATCTAAATAATGTTTGTTTGTTTGTGTCCTTTTACGCCTTTTCCCAACAGTATTTCAGTCATATAGGCAGGTAGTTTCCTAACCATCGTTCCTGGAGAGTTACATCAGTACTAGACTACCTCTCCCGGGGATCGAACCCACGCCAGAGAGGTAAGTGGATTAGAAGTCATCGATTCTAAATAATGAAATATTTAAAATGTTGTCAAGAGACAAAAAAGAAACACCTATAAACCTATTACATGAATAAAATGTGTCAATTAGGGAAAAAAAACACATTACTTGCAGTCTGTTAGTAATGAAGTAGAAATATGGTGAACAAATCTATAAAATCTGTAATAAGTTACATTTATAACAAGTAAAGCATTCTACTCATTGTATATATAACTAAATTTTGTGTAATCTTTCAATAAAGATGTTTTTATTTTTGTCAGGTTTTAAGTCGCAACAACAAAGTATAGGTCATATGGCGACTTTTCAGATTTATTGCAGAAAGATATCAGGTGCCCTTCCAAGCATTATTTCAGGCATGAACAGGCACCCAGAGTAGAAAAAATATGTTAAAATTTATATATATTTTTTAAAAACTCTCTTATCTGGAGGTATTCAGCTTTGATTATTGATGACGTTGAAACTGTGTTTTTACGCTTTATAAATCAAACAAGTTACATCAAGAATTGATGTTAATATAAGTTAAAAATTACCAATTAAGCTGATAAATGCAAACTCAACAGATTTTATCATTTTCTATCATTAAAATAATATTTAATACATTCATATATAACAAGTCACTATTTATCTAGTCAAGCTAAATAGCTGGGTCACTAAATAGAAACAAATCCCTTTACAAGCAATAACTTACACTAGAGGAATGAACATGTTTACAACATAAGAACTTGAATCATTAAGTTGCAGTGAGCATTTCCTAATGCATTCTCAACTAAATCATAATTTAGGAAAAACCTCAAACATTAAAATCAATTCTTGTCCAGCAAGTAACACATAAAATGCTAGCTGCATTTCAGCACATACATGTATATAACAATTACAAAATGCTTATCATTCTATGCCAAAACCACTGAGGAAGAAAGTCAGTCCTCTTAATTCCCCCTACATAATTTAGTACTGTGAACACTGTTAAATCTTAGCTCAAGAAATAAAAAACAAACTTTCTAAACTGAGCAGACGGTCATGTTTTAACTGTCATTGTCACTGTGGTGATTATATGATTATTCTTAATACATACAACACAGAGTGTATCTACATCAGGCTATCTTATGAAGAGATCATCATTTCCAGGGAACATGTGTTTCATTGTCCCAAACTTAGAAAATGGGATGTTCTAGCACATTCGTAATGGGACACATTTATTGAGCCGATGCCTACCCAGAGTTAAGCTGCGTACACTTAAACATTACAGTCAAATACTGTAAAATATTGCACCCTGGGAACGTTAGCTGGAAATGCATGCCTTGGATAAGCTTCTTTATACAATAACATGAATTTTAATATAACTATCTAGTCAAATATCATCACTTTCCGAAACGCTGTTCTGTACATCCATAACTGACTAGCAATGATTTAAATGTTTTATACTCTAGTCCAAAATGAGTCGGCCATGATCTGAAATATTAAAAAGTCAAAGTATATTTAATCGTAAACTAACGAAATTATGGGTAATTTTCAAGTACGAATGACTACACAAAATTAACAATAAATGTGTTTATCTTAATTTTCTACATTGCAAGCGTTAAATAAACAGATTGACAAGTTCCCTGCAAATAAAAAACTCATTTGCAAAATTTTCAAGTCATCTTAAAAATGTACATGTATTATTATTTGGTCAGTGGCTTCCTATGACAAAGTGGTGAAGAACATCAATTGCAAATAACTGCCACTTACGTACATGCATCTCTTGGTTTTAGGGTTTTTAATCAATTCAAGGACATTAAATTACATAAAAATCCTATACCAGCTGCGGGTACATACCAGAATGTCTAGCACAAGGATAACTGTTTATGGCAGTAAAAAGGTTCTGCTGACTTTTCGCTAAACAGTTTCCCCGAGAGCTAGATATTTCTGTCTGTGGCAACAGCCAGTGTTTGATTATTTTTCTTGCGTATTACATATAAATCAAGTTTCAAAATAAAATAACAAAAGCAACTATTTTCATTAAGCACTTTTTTCTTATAATAATGTATGAATTTACAACTTAATTCATGTGGTGGCATGGCTGAGTAGTTACCCAATGGACTAGTAATCTCAGGATTGCAATTAGCTTGGGTTCAAACCCAGTCAGGGGAAGCTGCTGTTTCTCAAGTAAGAAACTCTACATTTATTGCTCAGTACTGGTTGGTTCCAGGGACAGATTTGAAAGTGTGTCCATAAGCTTTAAGCTTCTTACACAATTCAACTAAAAAATTCTCTATCAACCAACTTCATTTACTAACAGTGAAATGACATCATCCTAAGTAAACAATTCATTAAATTTCATAAAAGGCGCACAGGAATGACATCATTTTAAAGCAAGCGTGCTGGGCGCACAAAACATGTTTTTCTAGCAACCAAGTAAACAGTAGGAAAGCCTATCTGATATGCAAGAATTACATATCTTTACATGTATGCAAGCTATCTAGCTACAATACAGAATGGTCGCTTCAGTTCCTACTCAAGCTGTGTTTATAATTTGTATTAGGATATTGACAATTACCTATAGCAAAAAAAAAAAAATCAGTGAAATCTTAATGTAGCCTACAGCATGTAGCTTCAGGTCATAATACTTACAAAACTTCTGTAAGACGTACATGCCATGGCATAAAGCCCATCAGAGACTCTGTATTTCCAAACTTTACAGCTAAATCAGGGTCTGGGTACCCTGTCTCCTCTGAAATAAACATTTTATATCAATCAATGTTGTGTATGCTAATTTTAAATACCTTTAACACTCATGCAGTTGACTGTAACATAACACACAATTGCATTTGTTAATGTTCATATAAAAACAAATAAACAACAACAAAAATCCTAAAACACACATATTAGCAAATGTGAACTTTAAAAATAAGACATTGCAAATGATATTATCTGACAAAACAAGTAACAGTTATGAAAAAAAAAAATAAATATACACAAATGTAGTTTTAAACAAAAATAATCATTTCTATTCCCAGTAAAACACAAAAACTATATGAGCATATAAGCTAAAGGAACCCCCTTGTCAGATTTATCAAAATATAAAAATAGTGCACAATATTAAGCCAGCTACAATTCTACATATGTATAAATTTCTTTAAAAGTTATAGAATTACATTATCATACCTTGAAAAAGTTGGTCTAAAGAATGTGTTGAAAGATCTGCAGTATTTAACTGTTTTAGTGAAACCTGACCACATATATGTCTAGCCATAGTTACTATAGACTGACGTCCATCTTTGAGAGACAGAAGAAAAACATTTATTCTTGACGAACCCCTACCTGAAAATCACACATAAATTGATCAATATCTTATCATACATATAATTATGTTGTTCTTTTATAGTAATAAAGATATGCTCTGACCACATAAAAAAGTAATAAAATCATGGCTATTTTATCCAGTTACATTCTAACAGGTATTGCCCTAAGCTAAGGAAACATTTTCAATTAATTTACTATTTAATTATAAAGAAATAAAGGATAAAAATGCATTTGATAAAACTGGAATTTTAAGTTTAGTTAACTATCATAATTTTCTTTTGACCCACTTAAACTTTGTTCCAATCATAGATTTTCTTACTTCCCATCTACGAAATACTTATGTATGTATACAACACTGGGGTAACTCATTGAACTTGAAGAAATTGTTAACCAGTGTGCTCGAATATAAGTAATACTATCAAATGAAGCATTTCAATGACTGAAGATGTTTCCAGAAGAAACAAATACATGTGAATATCAACAAGTCTTACAAAAAATTAAAGAAATTAAGCTGCAATAACAGACAAATTGTAATCATGAACAAGTAAAGGCCCTTTATAATGGAAAACAGGAATTTCTACTGATTTCTAACTAAAGTACAAATATTAAAATTGAAAGTTTTTTGTTTTAACAAGAAACATACATGTAAAACTCACATTGCAGGGCCTTTTTGAGCTATTTTGACAAAAAAGGCCCCTTTGCATAATCTGGGGGAAAATATTTGGCATTTTGGGAAATTTTAGAATTTATAAAAAATTGAATATCTACCTTATACATGACTTAATACTTAAGAGTGTATTAATATATGACCCTTTTTTAACAATTCAATTTTTCTTATAACTTGTGAAACACTTTAATTTTTTTTCCAGCTGCTGTTGAGAATTTCCTTTTTGAAACTGGGAAAGAAACAGGCCATTTTTGATTGGGAATTTGGCCTTATTCTGGCCCCTGGTGATAAAATGCATGAAAACACCATACATTTTCTGATGAAAACAAAAGAATGTATACTCACTGGTTAATTTTTCTAAACTGGAATGTATATCTATTTCAGCTTTGCTATATTCAGAGTCAATGTGCGAACTTTTCTGTCTTAAAATTTCTTCTTGAAGAGTCTTTTTATTCCTTTTCACAACACCTGAAATGTAAATGACAGTTGCTACTGGATATTGTATATTTTTAGAGTTTCTCCAAATTATTTCAAAGATATACAGAAACACTTGGAACCAATCGGAACTCCTTGGTTATTATTCATTATGACCTTATCATAAGTTTAACTGAAAGGGTCTAAGAAAATGCAACTGACTCAGAACATTTCAATGATAGGTTAAACATCACCAATTCTTTTGTATCTAATTAACGGTACAAAATACCTGCATTTACTCATTATTTACGAAGTCCAAGAAAGATCTGGTTTATATATTGAAAATTTATGCTTGTTATTAAATCATGAGGGCTTTCTGCATCATAGGTTGCACCTAATTTTACATAACAACCATCAATTCACATAGATGGAACAGTACTTAATAAGTGCATTTTTGTTTATTTAATGTCTACACTTTAGAATCTGTCTGCAGCTAAATTTAACATTTTACCCAATATTATTTCTTCATTGTTTAGGGTTTGAGGGTTATGGGTTAAAATATAAGATAATCTTTATTTATAATCGGTGACCATTCAGTGATTTTTTTTCTGTATTTTTTCCTAGGTGAATAAAGGCTGTTTCCCCAAGTTAAAAATAGGTATATTTCCCAAAAAAATGTTAATATTTCCCCCTAAAGTGCCCTGTGCACATTCTACACGAGAGCATTGACTTATATCAACTAGAAGACAGAAAGCTGTCCCTATAGATAGCCACTGTTGTTATGTAACCTGTTTGTTAAATTGAATTGAAAATTTTGTAAAATGTGTGGATAAATTACATTCTCAATTGTTGGAATTTTATTTTTCCCCTAAAATTTTGCCCAGCTATAGACTACATGTGTATATTTAAAAGAAAATCAAATAAAAAAACAACTAAAGAATACATAGAATTCTATACCTATCAATAAATTTTCAGTGTCAGTTCTAGTAGGGCGGCGCCATTTTCAATGTAATTCAATGATAATAGGCGTGGTTTTCCGATAACGGACAATCCCAACTTTTTGGATAAATAATAATCGTTGAGTATTCTGAGTGAAAACGGAAGCAGTGCATATAATACCGGATGACACCTTTCAAACTATTTTTTTAACCGACTTCCCATTTCATATTAGGCCTTGGAGAGAGTCTTATAATGCTCTCAAGGAAGTGTATAAAATTTCAACTTGTTTCAAAGCCAGATGTCAATGGAATATGAAAATATCTGAGGTGGTATGCAAACTTTAAAGTTCAACGTAAAAGTCGAAAAAGGGGCATTATTCTGTCAAAAAGCTTGATAGAGTTACTTCCTCTTGTCTACAGATTGGGGGCATGATGATAAACATGTGTGCAAAGTTTCAAAGCCATACATGTATGTCAATGGACTTTGTAAGTATTTGAGGTATTAAAAAAACTTTAATGTGAATTCCAAGTCGAAAAAGGGACATAATTCTGTCAAAATGCTTGAAAGAGTTACCTCCTCCTCTGTACACGTTGGGGACATGATGGTGAACAAGTGTGCAAAGTTTCAAATGGACTTTGAAAATATTTGAGGTGGAACGCAAACTTTAATACAAGTGGTAACGCTGACGCTGATGCTCTAGTGACTAGGATAGCTCTTCTTTTTCTTATCATAGTCAAGCTATAAATAAGATTAAATAAGTGGAGGGTTCTTTGTGACGCTAATTTTGGCGTCCCGGTACGCGTGTTTATTACGATAGATGGATATATTTCATAGCAAGCCTTCTGCATATGCTTAATTTCGCTCAAGGATGCATAAATATTACTGATTGTTTACAACCACAAATACATTGGCGTGTGTCAATCTTTATCGGTAAGCCGTCCTATGCACATCGGGAAATATATGATACGTTTCAAACTTATGCTTGCTATTAAATCATAGCGAGCTCGACGAGCTGGCCCAAAGGGCCTGCTCGCAAAGCGAGCTTTATGGTAACGCGAGTACCTGCTAGATGATGGTTTTGAAAACTTTCGTCCGAAGTACCAAATTGACACATCGCAACTTTTCTAATTACAAGATAACGATAAAAGCCGATGAACTCTGATTGAAAACGGAAGCGAAGACTGGTGTCCTGCGCACTTATATGGGAACCGTAATAGAAAGGGGGAACCAAAATAAATGGAAGCAGTGTATAAAATACCAAATGACAATTTAAAAACGGAAAATGTAAAATATAAATGAACGATTATTTAACGGTAAAAGAAAATGGAGCTCGCTTAGAGGCTTTGCCTTTTTCATATTTACTGCTTTCCGTGTCAAAGGTAACATCTAATTTCCTACATTGTATCATGAATTTAAATATCAGATACTCACCATTTTTATCATAAATGCTGATGAACGATATTCCCATTGCAGCAGACCACAATATAAAGTTTGCTATGTCAGTGTAAGACATGTCATCCTCTAAAATTAACATTCCAATATGCAAAGGTAACTTTTTCAGCTTTCTTGCATCAGTCTGAGCAGACAAACTGTCAGGTTTGTTGAATGGCAACGAAGGAATTCGAAAAAGACATTGTTTCATAAACGTTGCAAGTGCTAACAAGTAGTGAATAAGCTTCAAAACAAATACATTCATTGTCATTTTTAACGGGAAAACAACTGTTATTCTGTTGTTGACGTTTATCTTCACCGGCATTTCAAGTAAATTAGCAGTAACCTCCCTTAGATGTCATTCACTTCCGGGAGTGACTTCCGGCTGTTGAGACTCTCAATACCAAAGTGAAAATATGCCTACTGTAAGAAACATAAAGTTTTTTTTATATCGTCACGGATAAAAAACTTAACAAATATAAAAAAATTATATCAATCTTATTCCATTTTAATTTCATAAACACAAATACCGACAAAATGTATTTAAAGATTAAAATACAGATGGTACTTTTTGATTGGCTGTTCTCATTTAGTCGCAATATCCACAGGTTATCTAGTACTAAAAGACAGATGTGAACAAAGTTAGCTCCACTTTTGAAATAGATTAACTTGAAGCGGTAGTTCTAATCCAAGTAACTTATATTGGAACGTCTGCATATGATATTTATGTGATATTGTTCGATTTTCCACTCCAAAACCAAACCAATATTCCATGGTCAGTGCAATCTGCATATATATAGATCTATGGTCCAGAACATTGTTGAGAAAGACAAGTTGGCAAAAGCGCCTTCAATAGTAGATGACCTAGAGATTGAACGTCATAGGAAATTTTTCCATTAATAAATGTCATGCGTAACATGTCATGAGATCATCACAACGTTTAAATTTTATTGTTATTACAGTGCACTCCTGACTCGTGCAAAATATGTGGCACTGCCTGAAAAGCCTCGGTGACAACACCGTGTGGAAACTTTCTGTTTAATTTGGAGGCATAGGAGGTTCGAGTCTAAGTGAAACATCATTTTTTAAAAAAATTTCTCCTTTTTTATGTATACACTTCTGTTTGCTTTCCTTTTTCAAAAATCATTTTTTTGTTATTTTAGGCGTATTTCTATTTTCAAACCCATCTTTTACAATATGTTTCAATGTTCGTTATCCGGGAATATAAATCTCTGATTACATTGAATTAGTAACAGCCTGTCTTGTTTATAACTCGGTTAATCCACAGCTTTCATTGATAATTAGCCATGCTGTATTAATTTTTATACACCACAAATCTACACAGCAGCAAAAAGAATGAGTTACCAAATATGTGTAGATCTATATTAATTTTAAATATGATACAATATAGGGTAAAAGTAATGGTAACCGTAATTCATGTTGTGTTGTCAACTCCTTACTACTTTAAGACCCAGTAAGCCTCAGAAGTACTACACTTTTGATTTCTCAAAAGATGTTTATTTCTTGGTTTTGTATTACAGTTTTAGTTTAGATTTTGCAACCTTATAATGATAATGTTTACACAGTCAGCGCTATTTTCACCAAGTGATAAACATCTAGCATGTTCTTAATCCATTACTAAAACATTTTAAAACACATTTTTTCCCTTTCTCTAGAATGAAATTTTCATTCATTTCTGAGACTAACTGTACCATTAATATTGGCTATACTTACTTGTATATTAGGATACACAAATGCAAACGGAATTTAATGTCAAATGATAATTTAAGGAACAAAATTCTTATACATGTAGTTATCGTATATCTGTTCTGTCTTTTTCTAAATAAGTATACTTACATAAATTATACTTAACAAATTGTCGTTTGATATTTTTGTAACTTTCTGATTTATTTTTTATAAGTCTTATTTATACACGCCTTTTAACGCCTTTTTCACCCCCCCCCCCCTTTTTGTTGTCTCAAATGGTGAAAAAAAGCCTTATTTAGGCCCCAAAAACTAGTTTTTGTTTGAAAAATGTTGTTCAAAAAAGTAACAACTTTTTCGGCGCGGCCCCCAACCAAAAGATACATCAGGGGGTTGCCAGAAGGGGGATGTGTCCCCTTCTGTTTGGGGGGTTTGAAGGGGGGCGGAGTTCCCCTCATCGCCAAGAAAATTTTGGACTTGTGAGAGGCTATAAATGACCACAGATTGATCATAAGGTAACGTGTAACCAATGCTGAAAAGCATTTGACTCTATCTTAATCCATTGAGAAGTTGCAGCACTTTGAAATCAATTTTGATGTAAAAAAAACAACGCAAAATAGTGATTTTTGGCAATTTTGAGATGTCCCCTCGTTGCCATGGTAACAGAAAATTTAAGCCTGAGCATGTTGTTGCAAGGGCAATGGTCCAGTCAACATTTGTGCCAAGTTTGATTAGTGTTGAAGCTGTTTTTATAGTATTATAGCAAATTGAACTTGTAACGGGAGACTTTTCAATGAAAACAGCCATTTTTCACAATATGCTCATGAAGTAATGGGTTAATTACTTCATAAATACTTGTTGTTTTTCAGAATGTTAATCAATGTACATTGTAGTTCAGTATTTTATATTTACTTATGTATAATTAATATGCTAATTAATATAGATGTTTTTCAATACTTTCATTCTTAATGTAAGCTAAAATGCTTTTCTTTGTATGTACATGTATTTGTGATATCTTTGTTATCTTTTCTTATTATATGTGTGTGCTGATATGCCAATAAAAATGAAACTGAGATTAGTATTAATGCGTCAAACTTTAACAAGTACATTAACTTTATATATTATGCTCAAACTTAATATTTAAAAAATGTTTAAATATACTGTTTTAAAATTCCTATTAAGTCTCTTTAAAAAGAAAAAAGAAACAATTTTTGAGTACACACAAAGTTGATATGTTATGCTTTAAATTTTATAAACTTAAAGGTAAACTGTCATTAAACAACACTGACAGTTTTTTAGGAAAAGACCAAATAACTTGACCAGTAATAGGGAATGTAACTTCCAAATACATAGTTTGCGCATTTTCTAATTTAAATAAAACATATTCAGTAAGAATTTTCTGGATTTCTATTCATTTTCTGCAATACATTTGTAAAAGTATTTACACAAATTTGAGCAATGTTTATCTTTAATGCAAGAAAAAATGTTCTCAACATGTCGTAAATGACTACAAAAGAATAACGGGAGGCCTCATGGGTGGATGCTTTAATTTGGATATTTTAGTTTTTACTACCAAATTAAAAGCCACGTACAACATTACTTCCGGTAGCGTTTTGTAACGCTGTATACATGTTTTCCGCCTAAAATTAATCATTTTATTTGTATGAATTTCAATATCTATTCAGTTTAATACATTTGATTTAATACGGAAATTTATCTTACTAATGCGGTCTAAAGTAATTATATACTTTTTATGGTCTGTTTTTAGAGTTTAAACACAGAACGGGAGGTGGGGGAGGGGGGGGGGTTATATGTTTATTATATTAATTTCTTCTGACACAATGGTTCTCTACAATAAGAACATTTTCACGACGAATGGGATCATTACATGTGCTTTGAGTATGTCTTTACATTAAATTTAGTCAAAAGTCCAATATTGGTTTTGCAAATTGTCCGCGGTATTTGATTAACCCTTTGCCACGGTACTCCACTTTGATCATTTGAATAAATTAATGCCACCTATTGTCATAATATAATAAATTTATTCTAAGATTTCATTACATGTTTGAAAAGCAAATTTGCGTATATGATCACTGTATCGATTGTAATAATTTCACATTTTATTATCAAAAAGTTGATCGATTACAGTAAACAAAAGTTCAGCTATCATTGTATCGATTTTAAACTTTGTTTCAAATTTGATAAATTTCTGACCCTAATATAGCGTACTTTGGAATAATTTTAAATATTTGCACAGAATTGAGTTTTGACGTAATGTTAATCAAAAATATAAATAATGATACAATTGGCATGCTGTTAAATGGAATGTGCCCATTCTTTGTGCAAAGAATAACGACGCGTGATGCGCAACTTTGTAAATAAATTTAGACTGAAAGATGAACGTTCGGAAATTTGTTTTAATATAACTTAATAAGTAAAAGTTCGGATCGAATTATTGAAGCAAATTTTATGTCAATTCATTGTTTGTTCTCGGCGTATGGATTCTTGGTGAACTAACAAACTACCGAACGATATAAAAGGTTCGTATTTATGCTTTATTCATTTTACAATTTTAACTGAAAATTATTGAAATTACTTTTATTTTTCTTCAGAAACTAGAAGAGCAAACATACTCGCCAACAACTTCAGTGTAATTTTTCCTAGGATTATATTGTGATAATTACCAGAAGTAATGAGTTTAAAATTTCAACATAATATTACTGTGTTAGAAATTCTGAAATAGAAGAAAAACCTCGGATTACTGTAAAACTATTTATTGTTCTTCATTTTTAGAACAGCGGAAAATTAAATAATTAAGAGATCTTTGCTCTCCTTGGGTAATTTTAATAATCAGTTTTGTGTATTTTCTTCTTAATCAGCGTTCAAATGGAAAATATGAAAATTTTAAAAGTAGTGTAGCAAACTGTTCGGGATAAAACTTGTGATTAATTTATGTGTATCTTCATGACTTGCAAATATTATTTATTCAATTTTTATCAATTTTTGATTACAATGAACAAAGGATCAACAACTGAAAAAGTATGTGTTTCAAATTGCCACATTTTTGGATTTTGTTTGACTAATCTTTGTTATCATTAAATTGAAGAGGAAGGAAACGATAGTATTTTAAAATGTTTAAAAAATATATATATAAATAGAAAGAATGAAAAGACAAAAAGAAAACAGTTTTCGTTTGGGAATTTTTACTGGCACATGAGAAAATGTTAGCACCGAGGTTACTTCATTTATTAGCGGAGGTTAATGTCAAAAGGCCTGGTTAATTCACACATGTCTTTAGAATCATACCGCAATTTATTATTAATAACACTAGATTATTTATAAGTCTCGGTGTGGCACATAATTCATTTCTACCCAATCTTCATGCTAGTTTTTAAATCCTATGCTCTCCCACACTGAGAGGTCCTTTTATTGTATAAAATGACATTTTAGCCCAAATACATTATGCTTTCAATTTCATCACAAAATTGAAAATTATCTATGGATCTTCTTTGATCCCTCGTGCATACTTAAAAGCGACAAGGTATCCTGGTAGTGAGTTATGTTTTGTGGAAGTTAAGTATAGGTAGACTTGAAAGTAATCCCTCATATTTCAGTGACACCGCGACTTTACCTGTACACGTGGTTACCATTGCTCAATTTATCAATTTAATCAATTTCAACAATATTTGATTGAAAATATTGACTGGTTAAAATTTTAGGTATAATCATTATCTTCCATAGTTTATTTTCACACGGCGCGGTACATGGTTGCTGCACAACCTCAGATGGGCTTAAGGTACCAAGATTGATCCATCCTGAACTTTGTATCGAGCGAAATTAATTTACTGTTCATAATGAAAAACGACTAACTCTTGACACCTGGTTATGAAATATTGGTTATCTTTCAAAATTTAATGGCAGCTGAATTGGATAAGCCGCTACTTTAACCGAACACTTAACCGAAGTGCACGTGAAGATATGAAAGGCGTACTTTTCATATCAATTTAAACACGTTTATCTAATTTTCAGCCGATGATTTGCAAAAATATTTACTTTTTTCACAGTTATATCAGTACAAGTACTTTATCAATCAAATTGTGTTTCAAATTATCTACTTCAGATTTACCAACGGACTTATTGTATTATTTGTGACCATAGTATATACAAAAGGAAAAGAGACCGACATGAGCAGAAAGTTTTCCGACAGTGAAATCAGAGCATATTCCAAGAACAGGTATGAGGAGAAGCTTCTTCGACAACGTCTTGATAAACTTAAAGAAAGCGCCGGTGTTTTTCACGACGCCACTGCTAAACAGCGTCAGGATCTAGTAGCCGAATGTAAAGATATTCGAATGACAACAGGAGGGAGCGAAACTCCTGATGGATTTGTTCTGGACACAACCTTTGACATTTCTAAGCGTGTCACGCGCCCATGGGCATACAGTGCTATGGAAACCACATATAACGCAGCCTACCTTGACGCTGTTATTCCTCTACCGAAGCAACGACCAAAGTCCAGTACATCACGTGGAGTTTTAAGCCGGTCATCGATGTCTTCAAATAGGATAATGTCGTCAAAAAGTTATTCCCCATCATTGAAATCAGCACGAACTAGTCGATCTGAAAATGTTTTGCATAAACTTCCACCACATAATATAAACAGAAGTGTATCTAATCCGGAAATTCATAATTTTCAATCCACAGGTAATAGGATTGCTATAAGAATAAATGGTAATGAAAACGACAGTCGGACGGAAGATACAAATATAGTCACTCATGATTCAGCATCAAAAACTAAGAGTGATACATATAGTGGCAAAAATATTAAAGATGAAATAGACATTGTTGTTAACGTTGATACAGTAACTGATAACGAAAATGTTCTCGAAAATGAAATAGATAAAGGAGATTTAATAACATACAAACCATTAGAAGAACGGACAGTTGACACTAGAGTCATAACGTTACCTCCAATGTATAAAATTGATTCAAAAGCATACCAAGATGCGGAGCGGGAAAGAGCTATAAATAGGTCAAGGTCGCGTGTAAGCTTCTCGAATTTTGTTGGCGTGCACGAGACACAAGACGATTACAGACCTAAATCCAAATCATCCGATACAAAACGTTCTACATCAGAAACAAAACATGCTGAGCAAGAAAGACATGAGAAAATTAATTCGGAAAAAGAGAATAAATCAAACGAAGAATCTGCTGAAGAGAATTACAAAAGCGATAAAACCACAAAAACTGTTCATACCATTGATCCAGACACAATAGTTGATGCGCATGACAGAAAATCGGAGGAAGTGCTTTATCGCGGAAGGCGGTTACGGAATTACATCAAACCAGAAGAAAGATACAAGCTAGATCCGCTTGTAATGAAAAGACGCCAGAATAAAATGGACAAGCTTGCTAAAGAAAGTGTATCTTTTCTGAAACGGGTTAACCATGAAAATATACGAGTTGAAATAGCGTTTCCTCGGTCGGCGCGAAAGCGAATTCTAACCAAACTTGTACACGAAAATAATTCTGGACAGAATAAGACTGTCACAGACAACAATGAGCCTATCATTCAAAAGAAAATTGAATATTTTATGAATTCAATGTCGGAATATATTCACCAGCAACAGTTAGAAAAGGAACAATATTTTCAATAAGGAGGGGGTTTGAAAAAACAAATTTCAGAATTCCTTGCACGGTATAATTATTTCTCCAGAAGCCATGAACATATTTAACTGATATCGGTAAAATATCACCGGCGTTTAACTTACCGTATGACTTTAGCAACATAAACATTGTGGTAAAATTAATAATTCTTTTTTGTTGATCCGTGGATGATAATAAAGAATGGTTAACGATACCAAGTTTTATTGATTTGGGTTTTTGACAATATCTTTGGCGCATTTTAAAGTATCAAAACCGACTATTACTGTAATATATAGTCATACTAAGGAAAATGTAAATGCAAAAGTAAATGTTTTTTTTTATCTTATTTACATACGTGAATAGGAACACGCTTGTGCGAGTTAGTCGTTATAGTTAGACATACAAATGGATGTTTACTCTAAAGTGTATTAGATTATGCTTGTCTACGATACTTCTGTTTAAAATGTAACCAGTGCATATGTGCTGAGTTGTCAACGTACTTAGTTGTCCACTTTTAACGTTTTGGATACGTAACGTACGCGTACTAAGCTCGGCCGTGTTCAGTCAAGTTATATGCATTAACTTTTTCTAAGAAGTGAATACCATAAATACAAATTAAAGTACATTTCATCTGTCAAACTATCAATGTAAATAACCATTTATTTATTTAATTATCATTCTGATACATAATTTAACAAAAAACGTTTCATACCCAAGCCTTAGACATTACATCATTAGTACGTGAACTCAGAAATAAGATAAATTACAACTTTGTGAATATTCCTTTTTAATACTTTTTTCATGTATATAATTTAATATTTTTTCACGTATATAAATTAATCTAATGTCAACCTTATAACGAGAGAAATATCTATGCCTCACAAAAACGAATCAATTTTTCCTTCTTAAGAAAGGGAAAACTGGAGTTTTATGTTTGAATAATAATTGTAGTGCATATAAGATGTTTATCACTGAATATAGTAGCGCTGAAGGTTAAGTTATTTGTCTTCTTATTAACTAAGTCCTACAAAGTCGTATATGTACTTTGATTTTATTTTAAAATACTTATCATTTTAACTTTTTAACTGCCAAAAAAAAACCCAAAAAAAAAACAAAAAAAAACAATAGATGGTTCAGGTAATCGGCAAATGAATAACTTGTTGGAAACTTCAACACGACACCAAAATTTAAACGGCTTTTGAGAAATGAAAATAAAAGCATTTTTGTGGAATAATGGACCTTAAACGAATCATTGAAAAAAAAAGAAAAGAAAAAAATTGCAAGGAGCTCCACAGAGGTCTGACAGGTAATTGGGTGTCCAAACAAATGTAAACGAATTTCTACACAAATCACAATATTATAACTATAATAACAATAATTTACATAATAACCAACCCTTTAACAACAATTACGCTAGAAAATGCAATTTCACACAATGAAAGTTACTACATACGTTACCCACAATTCATCGGGTATGACTACAATACACAACGTAGAATTTTTGGGGGCAACGGAGTAAAGCCTCTATCACATCAGCCGCACGGAATTTGGTTCGAACGATTTGTAGAGAAATATGTGCTTTAGAAAGGTCGCAGGCAATTGACGGATTTGTAGATCGTCAGGCAGACGTAAGCTGTTCGTACGGTGACCGCATGGCTTGCACGATTATTTAAGCTTGAAAGTAGAACAAAAACCAACAACAGTTCGTATGGTCGTCGCAAAATGACCGTGCAACAGACGTGCGACTGTAAAGACAGTCGTAAGGCAATCGTACGAAATTGAATAAAAATCGCATGAGCACCGCACGACGCAAAAGAATTCGCAAGGCTGCCGTAAGATTGCCGTGCGATATGTCTGTACGTTCATCGTACGAATTCGAAAGTGAAGATCGGATGCATCACCATCATTAGAGCACCCCTCATTGTTTTAATCAAACTGGGATGTGTATGTGTTTTATACTAGTAAGTAGCTTACTTATGCCTTAAGATAAATTGTGTTTAATATTGTTCAATTATACTTTGTAAGGTATACTCGTATAAAATGCAAAGAAAATGGTTACACACCTGGCTCACCCACTTTCTCGGATATCTCCAATAGCTGCTTCTCTTTGTAAATCTTATCAGAGAACCGCCGATCACTCTTAATATAAAATTCTGGGTGTTTAAGTAAACCATTGTTCTAATATATTTTCTGTTTTAGCAGACATGGAGACTTTGTCATTTCGATATATGTGCGTGCAGTCTTCCTCGAAGTCCAAATCTTCGTTTGAAGATCGCTGTGAAGTTTCCTGTGCAGATTGCTTTGTTATCTGCTATCCACTTGTTGAGTCTTAATGCTCTTAATTGGCATCAACCCCAGTACAAGGGTTTTACCCCTTTCCCTAGATTTCTGTTTAGACCAAGGATATGATTTGTATATGACGCGCAACTGACGCGTCGTAGGACTGTTGCACGGATGCCGTACGACTGTCTTACATGTGACAGCATTTGATTACGGCCCGCGGTAGCTGCACGATGCTCGTAAGGGTTATTGTTATTGTCGCTTTTGAATTAAGTGTTCTAAGTATCAAATTTTGAGAAAAAATGATATAATAAAATTATTGCAATAGTTACAAAATCTGCAAAATAAATAAATAAAAACGAGGATATTAACCGCACAATACCCTGTTTAATCTTAAAGTACTGTTTCAGCAGCAAAACGCTTTGATTTTATTCAATTAAATCTCTTGATTGATTTTATAAAGGTCTGAACTTCTTTCAAAAGAATTTCATTTTCGGATTCAGAACGCTCTTCTATTCCAAACAAAAGTTTTCATACACTAAGAGGATGAAAAAATCTTGTATTTAAAAACAATGTTCGTCTTTATTCACTGTATAATTTACATTAAAAGATAGTGTTCTGAATTTTCAATGTGTGCTCCACATATACAAGATGGACTTGAAACAGTGTGATTATCATATAAATCAGAATTAAGGTTACTGCAGTTGTTTTTTAAACAGTAGAGAAGCGTTCACCTTTAATGTAAAATGAAGGCACCGATTCAAATCAATTCAAATATGTTTTTATTGTTTGCTTTAAAGCATCGTTGGAACCCACGGTACACATTACGAATATACTACATTTAATATACATGTATACGGTAAACAGCCTGGGTTACCAAGGATGATGGGGACCATACGCCGCTTTTCTTGGAATGGCATGGAAGTGTCACATTGAAGGTTCCATGATGACCGCCGTATGAACAGATCTGCGGATGTTTTTAAATTCAAAATTTTCCCATTTCATGTTTAAATGTTGAATTCTTCTTAAGCCCGTGCAATGGGGCGTGCACTTGACAGTACCGTACATGAACAGTACTATTTTATACAAGGGCGAAAATTACTACAACTTGTAAGTTTACAATCCAAACAGTGTTGTCTCCCTTGTACCGGCATTTTTATGATGTGACCTACAATTTGCCCCATGCGCATTATTCCATTGATAGTTTGAATATTTTATTGTCTGAAATGTATCATGTGGATATTCTTATGATAAGAAAAATGTTGATAGTGGTTTAATTTGGGCACTTATATGATGAATTCTAATCAGCAAATATCTCATATTTACCAGCAACATCCATACATAATAATTGTGTGGGTTACTGTCCCGTATGATACCAAATTTATAGTATTACATACCTTCTATAATAGACCAAATCACTTTAAAATATTGATTGTGTTCATTAATTGGTTTCTATAAACTATTTTATAGAGTTGTAAAACTTAAGAAATAAATTCAAATAATATATCCCAAACAAAGACTTTATCGCTCAATAAAATCAGTTTGGAGTTCGAATGCTAGGAATAAAATCACGAGGGCGAAGAAAATGATCATTATCAATGATTATTTTGAATCTCTGCTGTCAGAGATTTTTTTTATTCTTTTGAAGAAATCATATGTTGGGTGTTTGTTATGGCATAAATTCAAGTAAATTGGTGATTTTATGCTTGATTACGCAAAAATCACTTTACATCACAATCATTTTTATAGACTGAGCTAACACAATTGATCTAATTAAAACCCGAATCACCAAATATATTCATTAGAACAGTTTCAGTGGCAGCGTGGACAATGCTGCAAGTAGTAATCCGCGTTGGCTTAAATCTAAACTTCCTCAAGCAAGAAATCTTACACCCATCGCTCAGTACTGTTGAATTAGTGAACGGATTTGAAAAAGTAGGTCTATATACTTAGTTTCTTACACAATGTCTATAGACATGTACATATAGTTTCTTACGCAATAAACTAAAATGAATTCTGTATAAACTAGCAGTAGTTACCACAAAGAGAAACCATACACGTGTTTTCAATGACATCAGACATGGAAAAAACAAACCAGTATTGTTAATACATTTATATTAACATTTAGGTCTGGACTGTTTGTATTTCAATTATTCATAAAACCATAGTTTGAGAAATAAGAACAAATATGAAGCGATTTCAAAAACTTTATTACAGTAGCACATGAGATAACCTAACACTTCTGTTCATATAACATCATCACTGGTACTTTACTATAAATTTCAAACCAATGGAACATTATTTAGTCTTTATTGTCTTTGACCCAAAAAATCCCTAAGAATTATAACACTGACTGTTAATCCATAGGATTAATATAAATACATGTATACATATCTTTCTTCTGAATTCAATTAAGGAACTAAATGTAAAAAAATGGCCTTTGAGATGCACCTAGATTATTAACAAGAAACACCAGATGTTTAAGCAAAAGTTCATAAATGAACTTCGCTGGTTCCTTTCTTTTATACTTCAAAAGTTATCTGATAACAACAAAAAAAGTGATTTTCCTTTAGAATATAAAGCAGGAAAAATAATGTGTTACGTCTAAGAAATATAAAGACTTAATTTACACTTTTTGTCAAATACAAATTTAAAATCTTTTGATATTATTTGAGAATGCAGGAACATTTGACTTTATAAAAAGAAATGAATTCTAAAATATGTTTATTACACTTAATTTTGGTGGTACATATTTACATCATTAAAGATAAACTCTAATTTTGTTGGTATAACTGCATTGTTTGAACCTCTACATTGATCTACACAAAAAATATGAACAGTCTAATGTAGCGCGTAGCCAACCTGCTCATCCTCAGTGACAGTCTGGTCAGTCTTTACACTGCTGGCTATTTAATTCAGTATTTTAAAACAATTACCACTTTAACTATAAATGAAAAGTTCCAAACTAAATGTAGATTAACTTAGAATAATTGCAGACACCTTAACTAAAAGTTAAGTTCAAAATCATATATTATTTTCAAAGATTTTTTTTCCAAGTAGCAATGAAAATACATGTATATATGACCATGTATTCTGTACCTCATATACACACTGTGATAATACATTAATATGAATATGAATGTGAAAACATGACCCATGTTTCAATGAACAGATGATTTAACAAGATACTAAAGATAACATGAGCATGTTATAATGAAAGTAATGGTTAAAAGAACATGATTATGTAGCATTTTTAGAGATTTGTTCTTTAAGTATAAGAATACTCTGTCTCTGGTCTGGAGGTAACATGGCAATCTGTTGATCTGTTAATTGTAACACCTGCATAATCAAGGCAGCCTGAAATAATATATACATAGAATATGTAAGATAACTTTCCTGGGGTATATCGGTGTCCTTTCCGGTTGTGTTTTATGTAACACTAACACATAGGTCATATGGACACTTGCCAGCTTAACTGGTGGAGGGAGACATCTGATGCCCTTCTGTGCATATTTTCAGGCATGAATGGGCACCAGAGTAGAACCACTGATGTTCTGTTAGCTAGCTGGATACATGTAGCTTTTTTGCATTGAAGAATCCAAAGATTTGAACCCACAGCAGTAAGGGCAAGTGGTTAGAAATTAACACCCTTAACCACTTGTCCACGGATGCCCAATTTATATTTGTAACTGGTGCATATGAAAACAAGAGGGCCATGATGGCCCTGAGTTCGCTCACCTGTATATAGGACCCCCCACCCCTACGTTGCAGGGCCAATTTTAACTCAAGGGCTTTTATTTGCACAAACTTGGTAGACACCCATAAGAAGATGTTTCATGCTAAACATCTAAGCTCTAGCTCATTGGGCTTTTTAAAAGAAGATTTTTTTAAAGTTTTTACTATACACATATAGTTAAAAACAATGACACCCCTGGGGCCGGGCCAGTTTTGACCCCAGGGCTTTTATTTGAACAAACTTTGTAGACACTCACTAGAAGATGTTTCATGCTTAATATCTAAACTCTAGATATTTGGGTTTTTTCAAAGAAGACTTTAAGTTTTTGCTATACACATATAAGGAAAATCAATCACCCCCGGGGCGGGGCCAATTTTTACCCCAGGTCTTTTATTTGAACAAACTTTGTAGACACTCACTAAAAGATGTTTCATGCTTAATATCTTAACTCTAGCTATTTGGGTTTTTTCAAAGAAGACTTTAAGTTTTTGCTATACACATATAAGGAAAATCAATGACCCCCGGGGCGGTGCCAATTTTGACCCCAGGGCTTTTATTTGAACAAACTTGGTAGACACCTATTAGAACATGTTTGATGCTAAATATCTTAGCCATAGCTCTTTGAGTTCTTTAAAAGAAGATTTTTTAAGTTTTTACTATATGCATATAGGGAAAATCAATGACCCCCTGGGGCAGGGCCAATTTTGACCCCAGGGCTTTTATTTGAACAAACTTGGTAGACACTTATTAGAACATGTTTCATGCTAAATATCTTAGCTCTAACTCTTTGGGTTCTTTAAAAGAAGATTTTTTAAGTTTTTACTATATGCATAAAGGGAAAATCAATGACCCCCTGGGGCGGGGCCAATTTTGACCCCAGGGCTTTTATTTGAACAAACTTGGTAGACACTCACTAGAAGATGTTTCATGCCAAATATCTAAGCTCTAGCTCTTATGGTTTTTTAAAAGAAGATATTTAAAGTTTTTTCTTTCGGTTGCCATGGCAACCAGAGTTCTGCATGGAATTAAATTCTTTGAACAATTTTTAAAGGTGACCACCAAAGGAACATTCCTGTGAAGTTTGGATGAAATTGGCTTAGTGGTTTATGAGGAGATGTCATTTAAAGTAAAAGTTTACAGACGGACGCCGGACGGACGCCGGACGAAAAGCGATCATAAAAACTCACCCTGTCACTTTGTGACAGGTGAGCTAAAAATCTATCACAAAAACATTAATTCTCATGCAGACACAATCTCTGCACTAATCTTTAACAGGCACACGCACAATGTACATGACTTTTGTGTCACAAATGTAAATTTAAGGTTATATGGCTACTTTCCATCTCTTAATGGTTAAGGTACACTCAAGCCCCATCTCATTTATAGGCACAAGCAAGCACCTTGTTATAACCACTGAAAGGTTTTACTCAGTAAGATAGCTGGATAACTTCTTTATATAATGAAGTCAAAACATTAAGTAGGATTCTAAACCACACCTATAAGAGACAGATATAGAAAGCCAAGCAACATATACACACATTACCATGATGACTCCTCTCGGATACATGGTTTTTACATCATGTGATATGATTAAAAACACTGTCCTAAATATTCACAAATGCACTTACCTTTTCTTGGTCTTGTGAGTTCACACCAGGACCACCACCACCAACTCCTGCTAACATCTGAGGGTTAACACCTGACATGTTTGGTAAACCACCTTGCTGTAAGTTAAACAAAATGAGGATTTAGTGCAATACTGGCATAACTTATCAAATAATTTGTACATTATTGTGACAAGGTAACAGGTTTTTTAAGTTGCACATTATTGCGACAATATAACAGATTATAAGTATTCAGATCTCATATACATGTAGTAGATCTAGCATTCACTTTTTTATCTGCTTGGAATTTCAAAATGAGTCACTACCTATAAGAAATGATTAATGCATCATTTGCATAAAAAGAGCCTATTTGTTTATTTGAAAACAAAGCCTATTTATGATACTTTCATGTAAAATTTTTTTATTGTTTAGCCATGTTTAATGTGAACATTAGATATGTAATTGGTAATTCATGCAAAAATGACACACAAACACTGTAAATGTTACAATGGTAATCTCCAGCTTTAATGTTGGAAGAAGACATGAGGTGACCTAAATGTATTATTTCAGACACAAACAGGTATGTCAGTTGAATCAGTGATTGGCAGACAGCAGACTTAACCACTGTGTTGTGGAGGCTCTTTGTATTAAATTATAGAAGTAGTGAAGGCTAGTGAAACCTATGGAAGTCCTGTAAGGGCTTCAGCAATAACTGACAGCTACTGTAGTTAAAATTCATGAAATCAATCAGCTAATCATTAGTGTATTGCATCAATTTTTAAGGAATGAGTGTTATATTTAAAAGCCACATAAGTTTTCAATGCATTGTCTTTGATAAAAACATAAATCAGGATGGTAAAAAACAAAATTCATTAGTGCAGATCAGAATAACAAAATTGGTAAATTATATTTCTGACTACACAACTTTATGTTACACAGATATAAATAATATCACAACTTACCATGAGGTTCTGCATTGCTGAAGGTGCCATACTTGATGGTGGCATACCTGGCCTTGGACCAGCTGGCATACCTCTTGTATCCCCCTGTCCTATCAGTCTTGGGTCCCGCGGATCTCTGCCGAAGTCTGGTCTCTGTGGTGGTCCTTGCCCAGGTCCTCCCATACCTTGTGGACCCGGACCACCCATACCTTGAGGTCCTGGACCTCCCATTCCTTGGGGTCCAGGGCCACCCATGTTCTGGGGACCTGGCCCACCCATTCCACCTTGAATAGGGAAGAGTTGTGGTCTATTTCCCATACCCTGGGGTCCTGGACCACCTACAAATACATATTAATTCACTCTCAATTACCAAACAATACTATTCTGCCTCATAAGCCATCTAAATATAAAATCAGAATTTGATATGGGAATTAATCATTGAACCTCTCATAAACTAATGTCAGTAACACATCACAGATAGGATTTGTACCAAAAATACAAAAATGTTCTGTTACACATTTGCATCATAATATGATAATACTTTTTAACATTACAGTGAAACTTTGTTATTACAAATTCATCTGGAAAATGACTTTTTGTACACTACATCTGCGGTTTCTCATAACCAGTATTTATTTAATATCCTATAAAAAACCTATAATTAGCGAACAAAACTGTTCAAAGAACAGCTTAGATGTATAATAAATTGAAGACGTAAATGTATGACAATATACATGTATATGTACTTACCCATCATTCCTGGACCTCTTGGAGGGCCTCCCATCATTCCAGCAGGACCACCAGGACCTTGTGATACAGGAATATTACCTAGCAATCCACCCAGCCCACGTGGACCTCCTGTAATTACCACAGATTTTATATCAATTAGAAAACTAAGCATTTAACTTTAGAAAAACAATAAAATTGAAGAAAGTTCATGGAAACAGATGACTATTAACCATACCTATTAACCAATTTAAGATGTACTATGCCCATCTTTGGGTTAATACTTTCAGGGCAGAAATGTTATGAAATCTTACTGATTATATTTAATTTGAATAAGAGAATGCACATACTATATTCCAGAAGCAGCATTCTCTATTACGAGTCAATATAATTTGTTCCTTTCTTTAAAAAAAAACTGCCGAATTTAATGACATCATCATTCATACTATATTAACCTATAGTGTGTAGAGTTAAAAATGTTACATATCTGCTCTGTGCGTGTACTCAATAGGTGATCATTTTTCATTCAAGGAGGCTGTACATGTATAGCAATTATCAGTATTTCTTAACATTAAATTAAAGCATGTTAATTGTATTTTAACAATTAATAAGGTCTAATCCTCAAAGAAGAAAACACTTATCATATCTAGGAGGCAATAGGTTTTTATTTTATTACTATTATTATATTTTATATTGTGATTACCCATCATAGATACATCTGGCATATTTGGCTGCGACTGTGGTGGAATAACAGGTGCCTGAAATAACATTACATATTTTAGATCTTTGTCACTGACTATAAACTGATTTTTTTAATTTCTATAAATATTTTATATCTTTTCTACTGTGTAAAAGACTTTGTGCTCAATGCAAGCTGTAAGACACATCAATATAAAATCTCTAGTTTTGTTACCCTGTGTCTGGTTTAATACAAGCAAATCTAAAACACTAATACCAACTAGAGGATGCTTTTGTAAAAAAGCGCATGTCTCCCCCACTGCTGAGAATAACTGTGAATGGAAACAGGAATGGAAATGGAGATAAGATAATGTAAATACCCGGTAGTCACTTCAATGAAGGCTGTCTATGGATGGTTTCTATTGTTAAGGTTGTATGAGAAGATGCTTCCTAAACTGTTTGTTTTTAACCAGGTATTCAATTTTGAAAATCCTGGTTATTCAATCAGCGTATGGCAGGCGGGCGTCAAACGAAATTGCACTTGATGGTCATATCATATATAGTTTCACAAATGAAATTAAATGAAATTGTGTCTGCTCCATAATTCTTCAAACCTTTAAAGGATTTTGATGATACTTGAAACAAACGTTCATATTGTCAGATTTTTTTACACTATTGAAAGACAACTCAAATTACAATGTATGTAAAATCATGATAACTGTAGTGTGTTGGGATGACTCCACTCGTTTTCACAATGAAGCCTCTCTGGTAGATACTTGAAACAAAAATTCACCACATCCAGAGAACGTGTAGAGTACATGTTTCGTATGGCTGGTTCCAAGGTCAAGGTCTACTTGACACTTGAATGTCATATCATATATAGTTTCACAAACGAAATTAAAGGAAATTGTGTCTGCTCCATAACTCTTCAACCCTTTGAAGGATTTTGATGATACTTGAAACAAACGTTCATATTGTCAGATTTTTTACACTATTGAAAGACAACTCAAATTTCAATGTATGTCAAATCATGATAACTGTAGTGTGTTGGGATGACTCCACTCGTTTTCACAATCAAGCCTCTCTGGTAGATATGGTCAATAAGTGTGTTGTGTGCTGTAGTAGCCTTGTTTATTATTTGTTTAAAGCGATGTCGTAACATAGTGTGGGTCAATGGATGTTCTAAATATTGAATGAGGTCAATGTTGAAGTCTCCTAGAACTATGCAGTTTTCTGTTGGTGAATTTTCCAAGACAAGGGTAAGCTTTTGAAGGAACAAGTTAATCGGCAATGACGGAGGTTTATATACAAGGTTGATTAATAAGACCAATCATCCTATGAAGTTTGAGGGTTGTAGGTCAAAAGGAACTCTAGTTATCATCCGGAAATGAGAAATTGACCAACGGTCACTGTGACCTTGACCTTTGACCTACTGACCCCAAAAACAATAGGGATCATCTGCTCTATAAGACCAATCATCCTATGAAGTTTGAGGGCTGTAGGTCAAAAGGAACTCTAGTTATCATCCGGAAACGAGAAATTGACCAACGGTCACTGTGACCTTGACCTTTGAACTACTGACCCAAAAACAATAGGGATCATCTGCTCAATAAGACCAATCATCCTATGAAGTTTGAGGTCTGTAGGTCTAAAGGAACTCTAGTTATCATCCGGAAACGAGAAATTGACCAACGGTCAGTGTGACCTTGACCTTTGACCTACTGACCCCAAAAACAATAGGGATCATCAGCTCTATAAGACCAATCATCCTATGAAGTTTGAGGGCTGTAGGTCAAAAGGAACTCTAGTTATCATCCGGAAACGAGAAATTGACCAACGGTCACTGTGACCTTGACCTTTGAACTACTGACCCAAAAACAATAGGGATCATCTGCTCAATAAGACCATTCATCCTATGAAGTTTGAGAGCTGTAGGTCAAAAGGAACTCTAGTTATCGTCCGGAAACGAAGAATGGACGGACGGACTGACGGACGGACGGACGGACAGGGCAAAAACAATATGTCTCCCCCCAGTTTGAGGGTTGTAGGTCAAAAGGAACTCTAGTTATCATCCGGAAATGAGAAATTGACCAACGGTCACTGTGACCTTGACCTTTGACCTACTGACCCCAAAAACAATAGGGATCATCTGCTCTATAAGACCAATCATCCTATGAAGTTTGAGGGCTGTAGGTCAAAAGGAACTCTAGTTATCATCCGGAAATGAGAAATTGACCAACGGTCAGTGTGACCTTGACCTTTGACCTACTGACCCCAAAAACAATAGGGATCATCAGCTCTATAAGACCAATCATCCTATGAAGTTTGAGGGCTGTAGGTCAAAAGGAACTCTAGTTATCGTCCGGAAACGAAGAATGGACGGACGGACTGACGGACGGACTGACGGACGGACAGGGCAAAAACAATATGTCTCCCCCCGAGGTGGGGGAGACATAATAAACAATGAAGTATGGGGTAAAATCATATTTCAAATCTGTTATATGAATTTCAAATGTCTATCAATGACATTGCAATTGCAGTATATTTATTTTCTCCTTTTCAATGAACTTGAATTAGATTTCAAATGAAAGGCCATGTTGCAAAATAACAAAGGAAAGTTGGTAAATAACTTTCTTTGGTTTATCCACCTTACATGTAAATTAAAAAAAAAAAGACCTGAACCTCAAAGAAGAGATAAGAAATATCAAAGTACCTGCTGCATTGGGGCTTGTGATGTAGCTGGTGTTGGAGCGGCACTTCCTGTTGGTGGTACCTGCGAACTATCTCTATGTAACATAGCCTGAAATAAATATTGCATAACTTTATAACTTTAACCCTTTGATTGTTAGTTGTAACAGTTACAACTCTGTGTAGACTGTTGTATAGCCAGGTCAGTACATGTATGTGTATTCATTCAGTGTGACTAGTAGAATCTACAATGCTGACTGCTTAATTCTTGTTTCATGGTACTAGTACTTGAATTTCTTTATACTTTGAAATGTACTCGTCTATAAGAGGCATAAAAGTGTCTGAATGCTGGAGGAATAAAGTGCTGCTTATTCTTGTATTTTACAAAGATTAATGTCATGCTAATACATTATGCCTAATTAATTCAGAAGTATTTTTGCTGAAAATTAAGGATTTGTAATATATACTTTGTCAATACAATCAGAATTCCATCTTGGAAAATATCACATGCTCCAGCAATTTACATAGCCATACTTAAGGGGGAGACATTTTGAAAAAGTTTCTGAATATTCCCATTCTATCAATATTATTAATCTATGATTTCTTATTAAAAATGCATATTGAATATAAGGTTAATATAAATGAAATATTGCTAAAAACAAGATTTATATACAAGCATAATTTTTGTGTAAGTCACTTTCGCAACTATTACATACAAGAATTTATATCATTTTATAAATTACTCAGCAAATGTCACCTAACAACCTCATATTTCAATAATATGAGCAATCTACAATTGGAGTGATACTAATTTTACATAAATTTGACTTACAATTACTTCAAAAGGAAACGCGAGAATGCTTTGGCACTAAATCTCGAAGTTGAATGGTTTGTTTTGCAGTTTAAGCACATACAGTCAAGTGTAACAGTTGTTTGTGGTATTTACTAAGAACCTGCATCTGCAATATTTTAATGGGAATTTTTCTAATTTTCAATAAAAAGAAGTATAAACTAGAACTGCCACTATCATGGCGTGAATACCCCCGCATACCACTTTGTCAGAATCAACAGTGGCCATTTAGAGCTCAAGGACAACCTCCCTGCCAAATCTGAGGTTACTAAGCCAGTGCATTGCTAAGTTATGTATTCTACATGCTTCAAATGTGAAAATGTCAAAATCAATACATTGCGGACAGGACATTCTTTAGCAATTGAGAAGAAAAGCTTTTTTTTGTCAAGGTCCCTGTGACCTTGACCTTTGACCCAGTGACCTCAAAATCAATAGGGGTCACCTTATAGTCATGATCAACATCCATACCAAATATGAAGACTGTGGGTCAAAGGAATCTTAAGTTAATGGGTGGACAAACTTTTTGAAGTCAAAGTCCCTATGACCTTGACCTTTGATCCAGTGACCTCAAAATCAAAAGGGGTCATCTACTAATCATGATCAACATCCATGTCAAATATGAAGACTGTGGGTCAAAGGAATCTAAAGTTATTGGGCGGACAAGCTTTTTGAAGTCAAGGCCCCTGTGTCCTTGACATTTGACCTAGTGACCTCAAAATCAATAGGGGTCATCTACTAATCATGACTTAACTCCATGCCAAATATGAAGACTAAGGGTCAAAGGAATCTTAAGTTATTGGGCGGACAAGCTTTTTGAAGTCAAGGGCCCTGTGACCTTGACCTTTGACCTAGTGACCTCAAAATCAATAGGGGTCATCTACTAATCATGACTAACCTCCATGCCAAATATGAAGACTAAGGGTCAAAGGAATCTTAAGTTATTGGGCGGACAAGCTCTTTGAAGTCAAGGCCCCTGAAACCTTGACCTTTGACCTGGTGACCTCAAAATCAATAGGGGTCATCTACTAATCATGACTAACCTCCATGCCAAATATGAAGACTAAGGGTCAAAGGAATCTTAAGTTATTGGGCGGACAAGCTTTTTGAAGTCAAGGCCCCTGTGACCTTGACCTTTGACCTAGTGACCTCAAAATCAATAGGGGTCATCTACTAATCATGACTAACCTCCATGCCAAATATGAAGACTAAGGGTCAAAGGAATCTTAAGTTATTGGGCGGACAAGCTTTTTGAAGTCAAGGCCCCTGTGACCTTGACCTTTGACCTAGTGACCTCAAAATCAATAGGGGTCATCTACTAATCATGATTAACCTCCATGCCAAATATGAAGACTAAGGGTCAAAGGAATCTTAAGTTATTGGGCGGACAAGAAAAAACCGACGGACGGACGGACGGACAAGCTGATTCCAGTATACCCCCCTTACAACTTTGTTGTGCAGGGGCATAACAATATTACCATAGCAACTTGAGGGTCAACAATTTTCATGACAATCTGTGCCTGTAACAGGGCATACGCTAGCTGAGGATTCTGTAACAACATGTTCCGAGCCTCTGTTGGGTTGTTTTGTATACACAGCTGAAAAATGAAATAATATGAGTAATAAAATTTGAAACAAAAAAGTAACTGATTGGGAATTAAATGAATTTTTTTAATGGTAAAAAAAATTTCCAAGCACTTATCTTTCTATAAAATTACCCAAATAATGCTTGTGAAAATTTGAAGCCAAGTTGATGAATTACTAGTATTCCAAATAAATCCACTACAATCACACTAAATTACCTTGTCATACAATGGACCGTTCCGGTGTTTACAGTTTAATGTAAATTGGCTAACTTGTTATCCAATCGCTACACTGAGATAATACATAGTCACTGGTTGACCTGGTTTGCACAAAAGAACACATGCTTATGTTTGTGATACTGTTTGTTACTTTGTGAGCAGTTGACCTAGCAATGAATGGAAAAGGTGTGGCTAAATGTTCCGCTACCAAAAACCGGAAAGGTCCATGACAGTTGCAATCTTGAAAGTCAAATATGTCTTCTAAGCAAGACAAGAACCTAGTTTAACAGGAAATTATAAAGAGATGATATTCTTTTAATAAGAAATTATTTCGAAAGGCAGGCTGCAGTCTCGCTAAAAGTACTTTAAGCTTACACGAGTTTATAAATGGTAAACCTTCTACAACATGTTCAAATATCTAATTTGGGAGGATGTTTTCAGCTTTCCTGGTGAAAAAAGTACCTCTCCATACATTATTTCAGGCACAAGAGGGCACCCGAGTAAAACCAATGACCGTCCTTAAGCTACCTGGATGAAAGAATCAAATATTTCTGGAGGAATGTTTTGACTATAGCATAGAAAATGCCACATGCTATAAAATCATATTGCAAAACTCTATGTCTCCATCATATTATTTAGCCTAAAGAATACTTTCAATTTATAGGAACAAGTTCAGATAAGTTACCTTCATTTGTTTCATCAGTTCAAACATTTGTTCCGGAGGTAGACTGGCTACAGCTTTAGATATAGCTTCTGGGGCTTTCTCTGGTTCCATTGGGTCACCATAGGGACTCTATAATATAAAATATATATTTTTCTGAGTTATTTACTTGTAAATCTAATAAAACACATCACTATACATGTAAAACTAGAAACTTATTTAAAGTTTAAGAATCTGAAAGGCAAGGCTTTTATGAACTATGAAAGCTGTCAACACTTTTTTGTATATCCAAATGTATTCAGCCACTAAAAATATTTAATTTAAGTACCGTAATAATTCTATTTAGCGCCCGGGCTTTTATTAGAATCATAGACTTTTCGAAAGTTGGGGATGGGCGTTAATTGGAGACGCATCTTCATAAGACAAACTAATTTTCTAAGCAAGGCTTTATAAATCCACTCGCCCCTCATAACTATAAGAAGAACTCCGAAGATAGAGCGGATGTTGATTTATAATTGCAGACAACGCTAAAGTCGATTTCGGTATCGTAACGTACCGGCTAAAGTCTGTTCTTTTCCGCACTTTTATACCGTGCATGTAGAGTCCGGTATCCGAGCACGGGAATAAACAAGATTGCATTTGAGAAAAATGCTATGCCACCGCAATAAAACAACACTAAATAGTAGTGTAGGAACAGATTTTTTTGTTTCTATACAATTGAAAATTGTCATAATGCATATCTAATTCTTATTATCAGATTAGTGGTTAAATCTATTGTTAACTCAATAAAAGATCAGAGTAGGAATATATCAATGCACTTGAGTCTAGTGAATTTGGTGGTGAAGGTCATATTTCACACAGCCTAAAATTTCATGACTGCATCAAAGGACAACATGTAATACACTTTGTCAAAATCTAGGTCAGCTGATATCAAAGTTCACTTTTAATTTTGACACTAGAGGCAAAATTTGAACAACTTTGGTAGAGTACCTATATATGATATCATTTAACAAATATTAAAGCTCTAAGCCTTGTACCTTCAGACAATAAGATTTTTTTGATTTTTTTACTATATGTATATATTGAAAATCAATGACCCCGAGGCGGGGGCAATTTTGACCCCAGGGCTATAATTTTGAACAATCTGGGTAGAGGTCTATCAGACAATGCCTTATGCAAAATATCTAAGCTCTAGGCCATTTGGGTCTTTACAAGAAGGTATTTTAAATTTTTACTAGATGTACATATAGTGAAAATCCATGACCCCCGGGGCAGGGCTGATTTTGACCCCAGGGCTATAATTTGAACAATATTGGTAGAGGTCTACCAGACAATGCCTTATGCAAAATATCTAAGCTCTAGGCCTATGGGTCTTTACAAAAAGGTATTTTAAGTTTTTACTATATGTACATATAGTGAAAATCCATGACCCCTGGGGTGGGGCCGATTTTGACCCCAGGGCTATAATTTGAACAATCTTGGTAGAGGTCTACCAGACAATGCCTTATGCAAAATATCTAAGCTCTAGGCCTTTTGGGTCTTTACAAGAAGATTTTTTAAATTTATTCTTATAATTCCTTTTGGTTGCCATGGCAACCAGATTTCTGCATGGAATTAAATTCTTTGAACAACTTTGGAAGCCCTTCACCCAAGGATCAATCCTGCCAAGTTTGGTTGAAATTGGACTAGTGGTTTTTCACAAGAAGATTTTTTAAGTTCACTATATAATCTATATAACACACACACACACAAACAAACGAACAAACACACACACACAGGTGAATCGCTATATGCCACCGCATCGCAGATGCTGCGGTGGCATAAAAATGAGCCTCACGCATTTTTACTGCAAAAATATTATGATTTTTCCCAACGAAATATTTATGTAAGGTTACCAATTAACTCTGTAATCTGGGATGTTCTATACAATTCAAAAAGTCAATGGAATATTTTGAGTCCGATCATTATGCATTTTTTACCCGCCAATATAATTGTTAAAAAAAGTAAGAATAGTTCTGACCGATTTTACTGACACAAGCATATATGTTCCTAAAGGGATTGATGCGGGATTTTGATATAAAAAGACAATCGTCTATTGTTCAAAATAATTTTAATCAGAACTAATCTCCCATGTTGGGCCCCAATACATTGAACCACGCACGTTGACCTTGCTGACGTAATGAAATAGGCGCGTGAGTTTTGGCATCTCGGAATGGTTATTTTTTATACATGTATATATATCTTATACACAAAACACATTGAATTATGGCAACACCTATGCTTGTGTCTATAAAATCTGTTATTAAGGGATATCACGTTTACAAATATACATGCCCAGTTGGAACTATACTTCAGTGTAATTTGGAACCAGAAAATGAACATAGTGATAGCGCAATTATCGTAAAAAATAATGGATCTCTTGTTGGACATATACCGGAGGGATTATGTCAGCCTCTTACAAAATTATTCAAAGATGGACTTATTGTAGAAATCAGTGCCGAAATACTTGGAGAACCGCGTTCGTCATCAAAAGGAACTTTTGTAAAAGGTGGTGGCATTGAAATACCGTGTACATATAAACTTTACGGAAAAAAAGACAAGAAAAGGGAAGTTCGTTCCTACGTGAAAACGGAAATAAGGAAACTTGAATTGTAAAGGTAAGCTCAATTGTACTCAAATCGGGGGATGGGCGTTTAAAAGGGGCAGTTAATTTTTCAACTTTGGGCTGAAAAATGGCCGTTTTTTGTCCAAAATATGGGGGGTGGGCGTCTATTAGAGGATGGGCGCTAAATAGAATTATTACGGTAATATGTTTTCAACTTATCATACCTCAAGAATTGGTCCACCAAGGGCTTGCTGCATTCCAGCCATTTCATCTTTGTTAGACTCTCCAGCAGCGACCCCGACACGTAAAGGTCGTCCATTAAAGTCAGTATTGTTGAGATTACGTAACGCACTTTGAGCAGTCTCAACATCCTGGTACTCACAGAAACCATAACCTTTTGGTTTACCAGTTTCTCTGTCATATACCAACCTAACATACGACAAAAAAAGTAAACAAATACATTGTATTAAGATAAAAATTAAAGAAATCTTTTCATTTCAAGGGCAGGAAATGTTTCAAAGTTAAAAAGATAATTTTGTTAGGTTTTAAGTGTCAAGGTGACTTCCTTAATTTGAAAATACCAAATCAGGGCCGACAAAATCTGATTTTGACTTATTTGTCTGTTTTTATCTGGAGCATGAATTGCTTAACTTGTTCATATGATATTTATATAGTAAATTCTAGATAATTTCCACTTGTTTATTTCAGGTGGATAGCCTCACATTAATTTAAAGAATCTGAAAACACTGGCAGTATTCTGATTTAGAGCCATGAGGTTAAGTGATTCAAAGTCAGTTATCCCACCGCTTGGACATGCAGTTGAAGAATTCCAAGAATTATGAACAAAATATAGATTAATATACTTAAAGCTTGCTATTAAAGAAATTTTAAGTTAGAGCATATAAATTCACATCATGATAAAATATCATCATAGAATTAATATCATCATAGAATCGAGTTGATACTGCAGTAAGTATATAAAAGTATTTCAAAATCCTATGTGTAAAATAAATGTTGATATTACATTAGGATAAAGTATACCTGAAGCTTACAACAGGTCCTGCTTGTATAAAGATCTCCTTTAAAGCTTCTTCTGTAGCTTCATATGGGATATTACCAACTGAAGTGAAATAAATCTGCTATTAAAATGTAGAATGATATAATAGACATGGCAGAAATATGTTTTAAATGTATAGGTTATCAATTAGGTTAAATATGCAAGTTTGTATAACTGAAAAAAGTGCATAGAATGTAACTAAACCATATTACCATTTTCATGAAATCTATATCAATCATTGAATGTTTGTCCATTTTGTAATTGTTTGGTCAATATATTCATATACACAGTACATGTAACATGTTTCATAGTAAACTGATTGTAGTAAAATTTATTTTACAAGCAATGATACAATGTCATGGCAGTCTGATAATGCACATCTACATTTAGCTGGAAATGGCAAGTTAGAGTCGGGAATGCAGCAGACAGTTGGGGTCTACGTAGGTCAGTTTGCAATCTGCACACTTTGTGACGTTTGTCCTTACGTTCTACCAAAGTAACAAAACCACATAGTACCAACTAGTCCAATATATTGGGCTTGTTATAGGTTATGTGGTTTAATAGTACGTTGCTTTGCCCAGAAGCAAAAATATTTCAAAGCGACGTCATCTAAGTACCAACATGACTGACTAGTGTATTCATCCTTCGACCTTCGTAAAGACTGTAATATGGAACTAGTTATTAATAAAGACTTATATTGGATGTTAAAATGAAGGTTTACAGTTACTCAAGAGGTGGTAGTGTTGGTAGCCCGGGGTTCTATGATATCACGGTACTTAACATTTATCAGAAAATATTTAAATATAAATATCATAAATTAATGAGATTTTTCTTCCATCTTATAATTGAACCTTTTCTTGAACTGTTTGTCAAAAAATTATTTCAAAAGAACCAATAAAAATGACATTTTTAGAATATTTTCAATTTCTGCCATTTTGGGTAATTTCAGAGGAGGTTACTACGGTATCAAGGTAATCCCCAAACAAGAGGGCCATGATGGCCCTGAGGTCGCTCACCTGTATATAGCCCCCCACCCCTCAGGCCAATTTTTACCCAAGGGCTTTTATTTGTCTATTTGAACAGACTTGGTAGACACCCATAAGAAGATGTTTCATGCTAAACATCTAAGTTCTAGCTCATTGGGTTTTTTTAAAAGAAGATTTTTTAAGTTTTTACTATACACATATAGTTAAAAACAATGACACCCCTGGGGCAGGGCCAGTTTTGACCCCCCGGCTTTTATTTGAACAAACTTTGTAGATATTTACTTAAAGATGTTTCATGCTTAATATCTAAACTCTAGCTATTTGGGTTTTTTTCAAAGAAGATTTTTAAGTTTTTGCTATACACATATAAGGAAAATCAATGACCCCCGGGGCGGGGCCAGTTTTGACCCCAGGGCTTTTATTTGAACATACTTGGTAGACACCCATTAGAACATGTTTCATGCTAAATATCTTAGCTCTAGCTCTTTGAGTTCTTTAAAAGAAGACTTTTTAAGTTTTTACTATATGCATATAGGAAAAATCAATGACCCCCTGGGGCGGGGCCAATTTTGACCCCAGGGCTTTTATTTGAACAAACTTGGTAGACACTCATTAGAACATGTTTCATGCTAAATATCTTAGCTCTAGCTCTTTGGGTTCTTTAAAAGAAGATTTTTTAAGTTTTTACTATATGCATATAGGGAAAATCAATGACCCCCTGGGGCGGGGCCAATTTTGACCCCAGGGCTTTTATTTGAACAAACTTGGTAGACACTCATTAGAAGATGTTTCATGCTAAATATCTTAGCTCTAGCTCTTTGGGTTCTTTAAAAGAAGATTTTTTAAGTTTTTACTATATGCATATAGGGAAAATCAATGACCCCCTGGGGCGGGGCCAATTTTGACCCCAGGGCCTTTATTTGAACAAACTTGGTAGACACTCATTAGAAGATGTTTCATGCCAAATATCTAAGCTCTAGCTCTTAGGGCTGTTTAAAAGAAGATATTTAAAGATTTTTCTTTCGGTTGCCATGGCAACCAGAGTTCTGCATGGAATTAAATTCTTTGAACAATTTTTAAAGGTGACCACCAAAGGAACATTCCTGTGAAGTTTGGATGAAATTGGCTCAGTGGTTTATGAGGAGATGTCATTTAAAGCAAAAGTTTACGGACGGACGACGGCCGGACGCCGGACGAAAAGCAATCACAAAAGCTCAGCCTGTCACTTTGTGACAGGTGAGCTAAAAAGCAAGTATGATAGGATAGATGGGTCAAAACTTTCAAGTTAAGTTGAGAAAAACTTCCAACACTTAACTTGCTATAAAATTAAAACTAATTGAACAGACTATATGTCAGTATATGTGTTTAAAGCGAGCTTGACGAGCTGGCCCGAAGGGCCTGCTCGCAAAGCGAGCTTTACGGTAACACGAGTACCTGCTAAGTGATGGTTTTGAAAACTTTCGTCCGAAGTACCGAATTGGACACATCGCAACTTTTCGAATTTAAAGATAACGATAAAAACTGAGGAATTCTGACTGAAAACGGATGTGTAGACTGGTCACCCGCGCACGTCTATGGGAACAGGGAACCAGAGTAACGGAAGCTGTGTATAAAATATCGAATGACAGTTTTAAAACAGAAAATGTAAAATGAAAATCAAGTACGCTATTTTAATGTCGCAAACGTTTTAAGTTTTACATTTATTTCACTTTTAATAGCGAGCTCGACGAGCTGGCCAAAGGGCCTGCTCGCAGGGAATTCCCCAGGAATTTTTTTAAGCGCTTCAGTTTTTTAATTGGACGGGGGTGGGTGTCAAGGTGTCAAGATACTGCTGTGGGCTGTTTTAAAACAAATAATGAAAGCTTTTCACTTGATAAACTTTTTTCTTAATTTTTATTATTTATTTTTTCCATATCCAACAATTCAAATAAATAAACAATTATATATAAACACAAGTTCACAACATGTGATCAACATTTATATGTATGTGTGTCCCATTTAAATGAGTTTATTTCAGTTGTTTTTTCTTCATTAACATCATTAAAAGTGGGCCTGTCTTCTAGGTTTGTTGTCTTTCCATGCCTTGACTGCCTTCTCAAAGTTGAAAGATTCTAATAGGGGTCCTTGAAGTTCTTGAAGGGAGACGGCAAGAAGATAGTTTAGAACTTTAACAGAGAGACAATTCCTGTTTTCAGCCTTAACTCTCTTCAGGTAGCTGAATCCTCGCTCACAATCTGAAATTAATAAATGAAAGTAATCATTAACATTTACCTTATGTCTTTTATTTATTTTGTTTGTTTGCTATAAATTTTTGAAAATTTAAAACTTCTAGTCTGTTTAAACTTAACTAAGTAAAAAAAATATATTTGAAATGTTGAAAAACTTCTAGCAAAGTGTTACACATCTGCAACTGTCATTGGAATTTCATTAATGTCCAAGAATGAATCAATTTAATAATAATTACCTGCAGTAGAGGTTGGGAGGAGGAGACCACAGCAGCAATTCGGTAGAAAGGTTGCCAGTCATCAAGGTCATGGTCTGGTCGGCTGACTGATCAATCCCCTCTAAACTGGCACGTACCTGGTGCCAGTGGCTGCGGCACTGCTCCATATCTACACAAAAGTGCCTGGCCAGCTCCTGTATGTCCTGACAACAATGCTACGGGGCATGGACAGTAGATTGCACTTCACAAAGCTGTCCATGAACAGGCTCGATTAAAGAGGGTCTGCAAAATTAATACTTTTTTCATTTTGGGGATTCAGTTAACAGAAACAGTTTACAAGATATTGTCACGAAGTGGGATTGTTGATGTAAAGTGTTAGTTGTTGTTTTCACTCAGTTGCAAGTTGATAATGAACAGTCGTAAATGTTTTCAATGTTAAAGTAGCAATCAACCAAATTTATTCTGAATATCTATGCAGTTTAATCCAAGTAAAATACGATTATCATGTATATATTAAAAAGCAAAAAGATCCTGTGACAGTTTCAACGACATTTCTCACCAAAAAAAACTCTTAATTGATAGTGAACTAGGCGCTGGCTCTTTCTCCCCTTCTTCATGTTAGACATATTATTTTTTGAAATCTTAATACTACAGTACTGCTTAGACGTAACGATCGTAAGAAAGTGAAAGATGAATTTGAACATTACACTTATATCAAGACAATTAACCCATTCATCCCTAAAAATCAAACTGTTATATCGCATGTCAATTAATGCCAATTATACCATCAAAACAATAAAAGTTATAACACCTACCTGAAACATGTAAATATCACACATGCCGCGGTTAAATTGCACCCATCTCAATACACGGTAATTGACAACACCTGAACAGTCGTCTGCAGACATCGATGACAGGTGTCTATGACGTCACACAGTCTCAAGGCAATCAGTGTATCGGGTTGTGTATACGCCTCGGGTAAATATCTACACAGGACATGTATATTGGCTTGTTTATTTGGCTAACTGGGGTTAACTTATAGACACAATAGAAAGGAATATCGGTCATTTTTAAAGCGCTATGATAATTTTAAGCGCATCGGGACTTCTTGTTCTGAAATTTTAGCGCATCGGTGCCGATGCGCTAAAAGCGTCTGGGGAATTCCCTGTGCTCTCAAAGAGAGCTTTACGGTAACGCGAGTACCTGCTAAGTGATGGTTTTGAAAACTTTCGTCCGAAGTACCGAATTGGACACATCGCAACTTTTCGAATTCAAAGATAACGATAAAAACTGAGGAATTCTGACTGAAAACGGATGTGTAGACTGGTCACCCGCGCACGTCTATGGGAACCATAATTGGTTAGGGAACCAGAATAACGGAAGCTGTGTATAAAATATCGAATGACAGTTTTAAAACGGAAAATGTAAAATGAAAAAAATGAACGATTACTTCAACCGACTTTTCCCGTACATAGGTTCTGCCTGATTTCATTAAATGTACATTCACCTCCTCTTTTTAAAGAAACAAAACATTCTAACACTATCGGAAATTTCTCTATATAAACAAAGAAGGCCCGAAGTGTGCATTATTCTACGATAATGCACTCGCCGTTCTAATTATCTTCCCGTGTATTTCCACATTGAAGGCGCCATTTTGTTTGAAAAATCTCATAAATAAAAACAATTTTTTGTCGAATATTGTTGTGAAAACTATCTAGAATGAAAGAAAATGGTGTAACTAAGAAAATGAATCCGAACACCAATATCTTTTATTCAGTCGTTAACGCTATACAGACGTTTAAAGTATTGTTGACGTGACGTCACAATGTAGCGCCAAACAGCACGTGCAAAACAATCAAATCAAGTACGCTATTTAAATGTCGCAAACGTGTTAAGTTTTACATTTATTTCACTTTTAATAATCTTTATTTCGCTTGAAAAATTATAGAGAGAAATAAAATAAACAAACAAAGTTTTATAAACGTTTTCAAAACCCGTTACTTATTTAACGACAGGGGCGGCGCCATATTTAACACAGTACGTGTGACGTCACACGCACTCGTCACTGCATTTGAAATAAAAATGAGCGATTATTTCATATTATTTCACGTTAAAAGTACATGGAGCTCGCTTTGAGGCTTTGCCTTTTTCATATTAACATATTTTAATTGACTGTGTAAAAAACATCAAGGAAAATGGTAGTCAAATATGAAGGTTTTATAAAATAGTTTTCTTGCCACAAATTCATATTAAACTTATTGGCAGATGAAAATGAATCTAGTGTGCAAGTTTTACAAATATTAGCATCATCATGTGTTGCTTTTACTTGCAGTCACAGAAAATTTAAATAGCTTGATATCATAGAACCCTTGGTGTCATAGGAACCGAGTATATAATCAACTTCTCTCAAAATGCCGGGTGGATGGAGTTTTATACTACTCGCGAAAACCAATTACAAATATGCATTCCAAACATCCTATCTTTTTTTCTTAAAGTTGCATAACGCCATATATTAACGCCTTCTTAATAATAAAAACATACCAAAAACTGAACGTTTAGCTCTTTCTTGAGCTGAAATTGGTGCCAAATCATCCATCATTTTTAATTTTTTTCGGATGTGTAATATTCTACGATCATAAGAATTACGCTTACTGTAGATGGTCTGCGACCCCTAAATTATTTATCACCACACTCGATTTACTTTATTTAAATGTTATTTAAATGTCTATGATTTATTCAAACTTTCATTTGCATGTCATGCGTAATATATTTATTTTAATTTATCAAACCATCAATAGGTAGCGAAATCAGGTCTGTACGGTGGCACAAAGGTGACATGTGTGTGATTTAATTTATCTCGTGCGCACGAGATACTATATCGTGGCCACGAAATAGCTAAGTCGTGGTCAAAATGCCATTTATACAACTTATTGACTGGTCAATAATTTAACATTTAGCGTCACTGTGACCCTGATTTTTGACCCAATAACTTCGAAATTACGAAATTATTATATACTGATCAGGTGCAATGATCTTTCTGGGTTATATAAATCCATGTAATGGCTTATCCCTTCTAAATTATTCACCAGACAAGGATTTTACTTTATAGGCTATCTACTGTCCATGGGCAATGTCCCTTCCAAACAAAATAAACCAGGACTTATTCCTTCACATAATGTCGTATAAACAAGGTTAACAGGCCTGACCAATTCGATCACAAAATTGTCCCAATAAAGGGCTCTAGTCAAAATTAATGTCTGATGGGCCTTGGAAGGTGACTTTCTAATATGATCCTAAAGACAAGTTCAAAGTGAATATCTTCAGTATTTTCAAAGATTATAATGTTGCATGTAAAAGTAAGTTGTTAAATTTAAAAAATATATACAGAGTATTCTGATTGGTTAATTATCTCATGGCCACGACTTAGTAACTCGTGGCCAAGACATAGTATCTTGTGCCCACGACTTAATTATATCGTGGCCACGACTTAGTAACTCGTGGCCACAACATAGTATCTCATGGCCACGACTTTGTGAATCGTGGCCACGACATAGTATCTCGTGCGCACGAGATAAATAAAAACAGACACACACACATATGTAACCTTTGTGACACCGTAGGTCTGACAACCAACAACTATTGTCCATCCTCTTTTGGCAAACAGAAAACTGTCTCTTTTTATGTATAATTTTCAAAACGTCTATTATCTATCTACCTTCCAATAATGTCAAATCTCTCGCGGGGACGTAGACATGTCTGCATGTCAAAATTGCAAGAAAGTTAAAGAGTTATAAAAGAAGAATATTAAACATGTTGAAAACTAGGGTGTCAAGACATGTTCAATGCTAGCTTTGGCAGCACTGAACTGCTCTGGGGTAGGGAGCAGAGCAATTGCAGGGGGTAGGTGGTTCCGATGATATACAGTCCTAAAAAAGAAGGAGAATTTATAATAGTCTAAAGTAATTGTGAATAACCAATAAAATAACACTGGGCCATGGTATGATGTTGGGGAGAGGGGTGTCACATCTTCTATGGGATAGCAACCAGACCATGGTGAATTTTGTAGAAAAGGATTAATTAAGTTGGAAAACTAGAAATAGATGCTAGGTTAAGGGAGTGAAGAAAGACCTTGATGCTAAAGGTCTGACCATAATCTAGCTTTATCAATAAGGCTACTTTTCTTTGGACAATTTCAATTTGATCTATTTGCACTTTGGTGTGCTGGGAAAGCATACTTTGGAACCCTATTCAGGTTGGGGTCTGACTAACGTAAAGTAAGAGAAACTACAAGAGAAAAACAATTTTACTAAATAAACATATTTTTTTTTATTTGAGATCATTGGTTTGCACAAAAGGTCATTTCATGTAAACATTTTTTTCCATTGTTCATAATAATCATCCTGCCATTAATGTGCTGGTTATATATATATTTCATATACATAATGTAAATGTGAAAAGTATGTTGAAAGTTTTAAACTTCAAGATGATTTTAGACCCAAAGCATGGTTTATTTAACCAGTACTTATGTTTCAGAGGCTGACATGACAGTGTGACCCCCATGGGCCATAAAGGCCTATTAAAATGTTCTAAATGCTAATTATTTAAGCATATAAGCATATTAATTATGTAACAAGTGAACTTAAGGGCGAGGTCCATTCTTTTACCCTGAAGCACAATTTTGTGTTGGACTTTATCTGTGCTGGAATCAGGATAAAAATAAAACAACAAAGAATAAATGAGGTGGATTTTTATGTTTACTTGACCACTATCATCACTTAACAAAATATTTTTATAACATTCAACAATGAACTGTGATTTCAGTATCACACAGAAAACAAAGAGAGTTAAAAATAAAAATAATCAAACATTTCTGTTTTTTTTTATATCTGTCTAATTCTTTGAATTCTGGTTTATATTTTCAAAAATGATAAAATTACTTTCTATTCTTGATAATTATAAATGACAAAAGAAAAGATATATATAATAATTTTAATTGAAACATCTATAATTTCTTAAAATTATACTACAAACGTATAGCTTAAAATTATACTACAAACGTATAGAAATGAACAAGATCAGTTTTTATGTTCCCTCATCTGTTACAAAATAACAATGTTACTGAAAACTTTCCTGAATTTTGAAAATTTTGGCATTGAAGGTCAACCTTTATAAAGTACAACCTCTACAGAACTACACTCGTGGGAAGTAAACATTTTGGTTGTTGTTGAGGTGTTGCTATAGTTAAATGTTAGTTTGAGAAGATTTGATTTTTTTCTTTCTTTATGTTTAACGGCGCACTAACGCTGTTTAGGTCATATGGTACAGAAACAGGAAAAATGATTTTGTCTAGCCTCGGTGTTACAAACTTTAAGCAACACCAGGGGTCAAAACCACCTCACCAGCTGGAGCTTAGAGATGTATAGACTCCAGTAATTTGAACCAATCTAGTAGCCTCTTACAATCACACAGGGTTAAAGTTAAACGTGAGCTGCAATTCTGATGCAAGGGGCAAAATTTGATTCATTTGTTGCAAAGATGTTATTGCTCTACAGAAGGCCACTGCAGAGACTACAATGAACATATCAGAGAAATTATTGAAATAAAATTCTTTTTTTTTTCTAATCTAACAAAGATTAACAATGTTATGGAAAACTTTTCTTAAGTTTGAAAATTTTGCCCTGTTAATTGGTGTAAAGCATTATAACACTTGTTTTTAAATTATACACATAAAATAATGTAAAAGTAAAATTGTTCAATACGCAAACAAATATATTCATGTAAATTTGATCAGTTTATTGCATAGCTTATTATATCTATAACACAACATTTTATATTTTGTATATGTGAAAATACCAAAGTGAAAAATCAGCAGCATGTAAATCTATTTTCCATGAAAGAAGAATCAGTTTATTTACTATATTATTGGTTGTTTTTGTTTAAACAATCGGTAAATGACCACTGCCTAAGATTATGATATTTCTAGGGTTCAGCCCAGCACTCCCAAACCTCAACAGACACAACTTATACCCTACAGTTTCTATAATGAAGTTGTCCTGCTATAAAACAGTTGCCACCAATTAACAGCTGTGTTGAAACACACCCCTCTGGTCAAATTTCTTGGTTACAATATCTTTATCAGTTAAGGAAAAAAATGACGGTTCATTTGTGTTACAGCACCATCTTTCTATAATTTCTACCACAAAATGATAAACTTGTATTAAGAAAGGCAATTAAAGGAAACATATCAATAACAATATTTTTATGGCACATCTTGAACTTTAACCTGTTTCATAAAAACTGGCCATGGTTTTGTGCAGATGGCAACATATTCAATAGTTTATAATCAACAACCAAAAAAATAACATGTGATAAATAATAATGACTGGAAGTAAAATAATTGAGATGCGCCATGACAAAACCAACATAGTGCATTTGCGACCAGCATGGATCCAGACCAGCCTGCGCATTCACGCAGTCTGATCAGGATCCATGCTGTTCGCTTACCAACTCTATTACAAGAAGAGAAACTGATAGCAAACAGCATGGATCCTGATCAGACTGTGCTGATGCGCAGGCTGGTCTGGATCCATGCTGGTCGCAAATGCACTATGTTGGTTTTGTCACGACGCGTCTCAATTTGTGTGTAATTACCCTAACTACTATCCTCAGAAGTACATTACCAATACATAGAGCATTATTGAGGTTCAACATCAGCCAAATATTACACATACAAAACACAAATTAATGTTACATAATTATATTATCTATTCTTTCAAATAAATAAATGTAAATTCAATTCTGTATAAAACAATATAATTTCAGTTAAAACATTGCTGTTGCTCCGAGTTGCTTCATCTCTGAGTCTACATATTTGCATGTTCATTAAAATAAACTTAAAAAATATAAGAAGAGAAGAGATAGACAATAGTAGAGACCAAACAGCACACAACACTTATATTAGGCAATTACTTAACTGACTGTGTTGTTGCTGATGTGACGACTTTATACTGTCAGCTAGTGTAAGTTTTCAAAACATTATATGTGCCATATTAATTCTATTAAATTATACAGGCAGAAGTGAAATGGTATTGATGACTTAAATGAGTGCTATAATGTATTCATAATCAGCAAGTCAATAAAATCAAACAATATCAAAATGTTGTAACATATACATAAGAAATAAAGCAAACACAACACTTTCCTTAAAACCCTACCCTGTGTATAGTCTAGGAAAGCAAGGTGGAGATTTCTTTGAGTATATCATTACTATATACACAATAATGGGTAAAACTATACATGGCTATCTCATTACATCTCATTTAAAGGGAGACAACTGTATCCAATTCTTCATATACTTGTATATTCATTAATAGTCTCCCTTGAGACATTGTTTAACTTCACGCTAAGTCTTATGTTTACAATAATCTTATTTTAGCAAGATTAGCAATAGATAAACCAGATTACCTGAATTTGCCATATATAAACCAGCTTATCATTTATGATTTAATAACAGTTTCTTATCAAAAATATAGCTTATATCATTGAGAGTAAGTTTTGATATGCTCATTTTTTTTCTTATACTGCCACCAAAAGGAAAAATATTAGCATATGAGCCGCATCACGACAAAACCAATAGTGCGTTTGCACCAAGCATGGATCCAGACCAGCCTGCGCATCTGCACAGTCTGATCAGGATACATGCTGTTCGCTTACAAACCCTTTAACAAGTAGAGAAACTGATAGGGAACAGCATGGATCCTGATCAGACTGCGCGGATGCGCAGGCTGGTCTGGATCCATGCTGGTTGTAAACCCAATATGTTGGTTTTGTCATGACACAGCTCATATGGTTTCTTCACAACCTTCAACATGCTTTAGCAGCTTCCTTCATATTGCATTTAAGATTACAAACTCTAACAAATCAGTGAAAATCAACAAATATCCCATAATCACATTATTCTCGCCTTCTTATAACACCTATTTCTAGAACATTTTTATCACATAACAGGACATATTTCACTGTAACTAATTTATTTGAGACAATACAACTATGACAGCTTGCACAATTGAACATATGTGCTTGTAATTCTTGATTCTTTTGAAAGTAAATTAAAAATATACTTGAACAATATGTTAACAAGAGGGCCATGATGGCCCTGAAGTCGCTCACCTGTATATAGGCCCCAGGAACGGGGCAAGTTTAAACCCCAGGGCTTTTATTTGAACAAACTTGGTAGACACCCATTAGAATATGTTTCATGCTTAACATCTAAGGTCTAGCTCCATGGGTTTTTTAAAAGAAGATTTTTTCAAGTTTTTTCTTTACACATATAGTTAAAAACAATGACACACCTAGGGCTGGACCAGCTTTGACCCAAGGGCTTTTATTTGAACAATCTTTGTAGACACTTACTATAAATCGTCTCATGCTTAATATCTAAACTCTACCTATTCGGGTTTTTTCAAAGAAGATTTTTAAGTTTTTGCTATACACATATAAGGAAAATCAAAGTCCCCCAGGGCTTTTATTTGAACAAACTTTGTAGACACTCACTAGAAGATGCTTCGTGCTTAATATCTAAACTCTAGCTATTTGAGTTTTTTCAAAAAGGATTTTTTAAGTTTTTACAATATGCATATAGGGAAAATCAATGACCCCCTGTGGCGGGGCCAATTTTGACCCCAGGGCTTTAATTTGAACAAACTTGGTAGACACTCACTAGAAGATGTTTCATGCCAAATATCTAAGCTCTAGCTCTTTGGGTTTTCTAGAAGAAGATTTTTAAAGTTTTTTCTTTTGGTTGCCATATCTTTTGGTTGCCATGGCAACCAGAGTTCTGCATGGAATTAAATTCTTTGAACAATTTTCAAAGGTAACCACCAAAGGAACATTCCTGTGAAGTTTGGATGAAATTGGCTTAGTGGTTTATGAGGAGATGTCATTTAAAGTAAAAGTTTTATGGACGCCGGACGGACGCCGGACGAAAAGCGATCACAAAAGCTCACCCTGTCACTTTGTGACAGGTGAGCTAAAAAAAAAACAACACATTAATACATTTTATCATTGACAACTGAAAAAAACGTTTTCTTTTTAAAACAACAAAATAAATTCAAATTAAACTAACAAAATAATTTAAAATAAAAGACACCCTGATATATATAACAATGATGATTTGTTCGTATTCCATCTTATATATGTACATTTATATTCATTGGATAAAATAAAAGTTTAAAAAGTTTGTTCATAAGTAACAACATTTAACAAGTGGCAAAAACATCACTGCCATAATTCAGTACCTGAGGACAGAGATGTGTTGTTTCTATAAACCAATATTATATAAATAACACAAAGGTTTTTTCAGTAACTGTAAGAATATCATCCCGGGGAAAAAACTATACCCTCGGCAACCACTGCATCAGCTGGAGGTAACAGTATTTTTTAAGAGGAAGATATTTTTGTTGTTACTTGCAAACCTATGTGTTATGAATTATATCAAAACTAACAAATACGTCATTGGGACACTGCTTCTTTAGGTTTTAATTTTTCAGATTTTAACTGTAAAGAAAAGTAGTAACCTTTGTAACAGTACATAATTTGGTTCACTTGAATTAACAGTAAGAATAACTCCCATTGGCCTTTACAAAAATAGTGAGGGGTTGTAAAATAAAATAATTATTATGGTATTGTTTTGCATAATGCCGAACAATGTATGTTTCTGGTAAGTTTCACACTTTCCATATGGAAAATATCCAATTATATTTAAATTTACCCATGAAATATGGTGCTATATGAGTCAAATATATTTCATATTTGTAAAAAATAAATATGAAATATAAATATGGAAGTGGGCGGAGTCAAAACTCATATTTACTTTAAGGGATTTTTTTTCGCCATTTTCTTTAAAAAGTCTGATAAAAAAAAGCTTTTTGTTGAATTTTGTTTTGAAAACTATCTAGAATGATAGAGAATGGTCTCACTTAAAAAATAAATCCAGACACCAATATATTTTATTCAGTCAGTAACGCTGTACAGACATTTAAAGAGTTGTTTATGTGATGTCACAATGTAACGCCAAACAGTGCGTGCAAAAACAGGAAAACAAGACGCATCTATAAATGTATTACTGCAGTTGCGTAGCAAGCAAGGGGATTCGTTACCATTTTTCTTTGATATTGAAATTAAATAAAAAAGGTTTTATTTTCGTTTTTAGAGAAATGTGATATATATTTTCACGCAACATGATAAAATGCCACACATTTTCACTATCTATCCTGGCTCGTGAAAATATGTGGCATTTTATCATGTTGCGTGAAAATTTAATGTTGAATTAAGAGCAATTGTTCAGATGGTAAATTTTTTGAGAGGTGGGTCAAATTTCTATAACAAACCATTAATCAATTAAAATTAATGCCAAATTTTCTTTCATGCTGTAAATAAAGACTAGTTTGATGGTAAAAATAAATTTAATATAAAAAAAACAATTTTTGGCCTAATCCAAAATCCTTCCAAAAAGAATTCTATTAAAACTGATTGTAACACAGTCATTAGTTACAAGTTCTTGGTCAGTTTTTTTACATCATTACTATGTAGCTATCACTTGGTTAAAATGGTTCTATTATGGTCATCTAAAATAACATTTTCCTAATAATTAGCTATCATCAAGAGTCCAAGTACGGCTGTCTGCAATTCCAGTAATTTTCCGTCTGCATCTCAGTTAGTCGGGACACTGTCCTCTCAAACGCAAACAACTCCTCCTCTCCCGTGAATATGCTAGCTTCAGATGACTCCGAATCCTGGTGGTTTAAAATTAAAATTTGAAATTTTCAAAATAAGAAAAATAATAATGCAAAGAATGGGTGAAAATTAAATTATGTAAAATCAATTATATTCGTTACTTTTGAAATATGGGTGTATCAATTTGAAAATTCTTGCTATTTAATACTAAATAATAACTTCATAACTAAGAGGATGCACAGAATGTTTTGTTCCATTTATAATAATAAATCTGTAAATCTGCAAGTCTTTGTATCTGTTAATGAAAAGGGATCGAAATAGAATGAAGTATTAATTTATAAAACTGAAACATTGAAATACAGATACACACTGAGTTGGCCATTCTACACAATGATCACATGTGTTGCCTGATAATAGCCAATTAAGCAGTTGTATTGACGGTTCATTAATTTGTTCCCTGTTTGTCACAGCTACTTTGTAGCATGTTGCAACTACTGTGTAGCAAGCAACACAAAAATCATGAACAGGCTAAATTTCCTTTTAATTCAAGAGCCAAAACTCAGCTAAAGATCATTTAACAGAAAAAACTCGTAAAATATGCACAAGTTCTTGAGGCACCCATCAGTCCTGTAACATTCCTTTCATATTGCATTTGTAGTAAAAGAGAAAGTCTGGATAAACTTTATAAATAACTAAAAATGTGTCCATAGGACACGGGTGCCCCCACCACGCCACTGTTATGTCAATCTTATGACTCTAGGTCAAATATTTTTTGAAAACTAAAAATCTTTTACTAAGTAAAGGGCAAGAACTTTACAAATACTGAATAAATCCACAAGCAAACCCCAAAGTGCATAAGTACACATGCTGACCAACATTCTTGTAAACTTTCAGGCCTACAAGTGAAATACTTTTTGAGCTATGCATGAACAAGTTGAAAATTGCAAATTTATAATACTGTAAGTCAAGGGCAATAACTCTAACAAAACTGAAAAAAATCCACATGCAAAGTCCCAGATGCATAGCTTCACAGTGATGTGAATCATTATTCCTGTAATTTAGTGATGTTGATCATTATTCCTGTAAAGTTGGTTGATTCTTACTCAAGCACTCAAAAAACAAATAACAACATAATGAAACCGTTTTTACTAAGTCAAGGGAAATAACTGTACAAATACTGGACAAATCCACAATCAAAACCCCAGGTGCAAAATAAATATGCTGAGCAACCTTCCCGTAAGGTTTAATGACTCTATGTCAAATCCTTTTTGAGTTACATGCAACACAAGTTGAATATTGCAAAATTTTCTAAGTCAAGGGCAATAACTCTAAAAATACTAAAAATATCCAGTCGAAAATACCCAGGTGCACAACTACACATGCTGATCAACATTCCTGTAAAGTTTCATGACTCTAGGTCAAATAAGTTTTGAGTTACATGCGACACAAGTTGAAAATTGCAAAATTTTAACAAGAGCTGTCAGAAGGACAGCGCGCTCGACTTTTTTAGTGCTTGCCTATAAAACAAAACTTTGACAGTTAAGGGCACACAAGACTTTAACTAGGAATTTCTAAGTACAAATCAAGAAACATTTTCACAGAGTTATCTTCTCTTGCTTACAGATAGGTCTCATGATGGCACATAAGAACTCCAACTTCCAAAGTAATATCTCAAATGGTTAAGTCAACAAGTGGACAAGAATGAAAATCTTAACTGAGTTTCTAAGTCAAAAAGGGCCATAATTCAAATAAAATCCTTAACAGAATTACCTTCTCCTGCCCATGTTTTGGGACCATGATGGTAAACAAGTATTCCAACTTTCAAATTAATATCTCAAACAGTTCAGTCAAAAAGTGGACTGGTACTAAAAACTTAACCAAGATTCTAAGTCGATAAAAGGCCTTAATTTTTAAAACAAATCCTTGACAGAGTTACCTTCTCTTGCGTACAGATGGGGGTAATGATGTGAAATAGCATTAAAAGTTTCAAAGCAATATCTCAAAGGGTTAAGGCAATAAGTGGATTTTACCCATATTCAATGTATTTTCTAAGTCAAAAAGGGGCATAATTCTGTCAAAAACCTTGACAGAGTTATGTCCTCTTGTCTGTTGATGAAGGTCGTGATGGTAAACAAGTATGGTCAGTTTCAAAGCAATACCTCCAATGGTTTTGAAATAAAGTGAGGTGGTACAAAAAACTTAACCAAGCTCAATACACTTTCTAAGTCAAAAAAGGGCCATAATTCTGTCAAAAACCTTGACAGAGTTATGTACTCTTGTCTGTAGATGGAGGTTATGATGGTGAACAAGTATGGTAAGTTTCAAAGCCATACTTGTAATACTTCTGAAATAAAGTGGGGTGGTACGAAAAACTTAACCAAGGTGTGACGCCAACGCCGACGCTAACGCCGACGCCGGGGCGAGTAGGATAGCTCCCCTTTTCATAGAAAAGTCAAGATAAGTCAAGGGCAATAACTCTAAAAATACTAAAAACATCCAGAAGAAAAATACCCAGGTGCACAAGTACACATGCTGATCAATATTCCTGTAAAGTTTCATGACTCTAGGTCAAATACTTTTTTAGTTACATGCGACACAAGTTGAAAATTGCAAAATTTTACTAAGTCAAGGGCAATTACTCTAAAAATATCTTGACGAAAATACCCAGGTGCACAAGTACACATGCTGATCAACATTCCTGTAAAGTTTCATGACTCTAGGTCAAATACTTTTTGAGTTACGTGCGACACAAGTTAAAAATTGCAAAATTTTACAAAGTCAAGGGCAATAACTCTAAAAATACTAAATATATCCAGACGAAAATACCCAGGTGCACAAGTACACATGCTGATCAACATTCCTGTAAAGTTTCATGACTCTAGGTCAAATACTTTTTGAGTTACGTGCAACACAAAAGAGAATGGACGGACAGAAGGACGGACAAGGGTAAATCTAAATGCCCGCCACTAAAGTGGGGGCACAAAAATTGTAAAAGGGCAATATCTTTGACAAAAATCATTAAACTGGAAAATAAAGAAGCTACACACAACTAAACTTGGTACTTATTATTCCTGTAAGGTTTGTATGAAATTAAACCAGTAATTATTTAATTGTTCAGAGAAGGTTTGTGACAGACAAATAGACAAACAGACCATACAAAAACCTCAATGGAATCCCATTATTTATTTCGTAGAATTATTTCTTTTTTACTAAAATATCTTACCGCCTTTAATCCTAGATCATCCATTAGCATTCTATTCCTGTCTTCCTCTCTCAATGTCTGTGTACCTTTAGTGAATAAGTCCTGCGGTAGTGATTCTGCTGAACATACAACTCTTACCTAAAATATTCACATCACCAGTATCAAAATGCTCACATCATAAACAGATTCACATTATAAACACATTCATATAAATACATTCACACCATAAACATATTCACATTATAAACACATTCATATAAATACATTCACACCATAAACATATTCACATCATAAACACATTCAGATTATAAACACATTCACACTAACACATTTACAAAATATACACATTCATATTATTAACACATTCACATATTTTATGCATTGACGGGATAAAATAAATTAAAACACACATATTTCTCTGTAAACCCTACTGCATTTTTATGTTACACTTACCACCACTTTCAATATGTTTGATATATTTGGTCAGCTATGAACATGTATTTATTTGATCTTGCATAATTCTAATTATTAATGTCATAATTTATTTACAAATTTTATAAAGAGATTTTATGAGAAATTAACATTTTAAACTTCAATACATGTATTACAACCCTGGTTATATTTTCCTCTATGAAATAATTCTCAGCAAAAAAGACCTTCTCTTTCTGAACATGATGCTACTGGTCTCAATCTTTTTAATGCAAATATTATTTTTATATAATTATAATTACAGACTTCCTCTAGGTAAATGTAAGAAGAAAACAAAATATTAAACATGTTTTTTTTTTTAAAATCACTCCTTGTAAAAACTTTTTTTCAAATTTCAAACATACACATTATGCAGGATAGATTTAAAACTATCAAATAAATAACCCCACCAATTACAATGTACGAGCATGACCTACTTACCTTGTTATCATAAAATGTATCTATCATCACTATAAACCGCTTGGCCTCTGATTTTTGTTTCAAGGTCATCTTGGGTATATTGCGTATAATCACAGAATCAAAGTTTTGACTAATTTCCAGATAGTCTATAGCCCCTAGTGCCTGTGTATGAAATATAAATGAGCCACATCATGACAAAACCAACATAGTGTGTTGGCAACCAGCATGGAACCAGACCAGCCTGCGTATTCAGGCAGTCCGATCAGGATCCATGCTGTCTGCTATCAGTTTTTCTACTTGAAATAGAGTTGGTAAGCGAACAGCATGGATCCTGATCAGACTACACGCACTACATTGGTTTTGTCATGACACGGCTCAAAAATAAAATACCTTTGTTGTCAAAATACATATTAAAACATTTTTTATTATAAATCATACTCAGAAGATAAAATATTATCTAGCTGGGTTTGAGTCACAATGCATGTGGTCAATTTCTAGTTTGTGTTGCAAAGTTCAGGTGCCACTGTTATTGAATAGTATCTTCTGTTAACTTCTGACAGTAAATGCATAGGGCAGCTTGTAATCGCTATTGAAATTTCAGCTGACTGTCTTAATAAAAAGGACGGCACAAGTGAAAAATGATTTATGCATATGATATATAAAACACTGACGTTGTGGAGAGGGCTGTTGCTAAATGTTGTTATAACTTGTAGCCTGACCCATTTGCACTATATCTCTTTGTGAATTTGTATTATTCATGTAACCTTATAAGTTTTATGCATAGAATAGTCGCAATAAAATATTATTAAACTAAAAAATGTTGTTTTGTATGCTACACTATATTTTTATAAATTATATTTTAAACTAAAGGGTGTATACATACCTGACAACACAAGTGACTAAAAGTTGTATCTAAAACTCTACCGCAAGTCTTAGGCAGGAGAAGATCCCTCCCTAATACATCTAATGTTTTTGAATGCACCACTGTAACAAAAATAGATATATTCTATTGGTAAAACTTCACAATATATTTCATTTATGATATACAGTTATATCTAACATACCAGTTAAGTCACACTTTTTGACAACTTTGTTGTTGTTTTCATTGAAATATTTTACCTGATTTACAATTCATACATAATTATTAGAAATTCTGGTAAAAATAACTAATAATATCAACCTAGAAATCATTACAGACAACCTAGAGATTTTTTTTCTCAAGAAGTGATGCCCTTGAACCTCCGTACTTTCCACTATAACCATTAATTTTCTTGTTAAATTGTAATTATTATTCTGACTTATGTACAGCATACATGCCTATGAATTATTATATTCCACCATATATTAACACATTTTATATTATCCATAAAATAAATTATATATTTAAATAATGATAATAATCATACTGTCATCCTCATCAGCTATAAGTTCTTCAAACACCTCATCCACTAGCTCATCACATTTGGTATTACTTGTTCTGAAAAACAATTAAACAAATTGTTTATTGAATATCAGGAGGTTAGGTGATCCCCAAAGAGCATTAACCACAACAAAATAACATGAAAATTGCAGACTCGGTTTAAAAGAGTCTGTACATGAGGGAAAAAGAGCAACATCCCTCCACCTCCTTGCACTGGCTTGAGAGGGACTCAATTTTCAACAATTAAAAGTGCCAGAATCAATGATGCCAAAGGACCAGACAAAACTGAAGTGAAGTAATTGGGGCAACTTTTACAGTTGCTTTACAGCACTTGACACCTGCTGTTGTGATGTATATTTAAATATCTGGAGATAGAGTGATCCATCAGAACCATTAATCACAACAAAGTTTCATCATCTTCTTAGCATCAAGATAGTTTTTTGTTTCCCTTTTGCAATGATGTCTCAAGTCACATCATCACTGCAAAAGTCATTACCGGTAGCTAACTTTCCACCTGTTTAAGAATAATTCTGGTGCCTCTCCATGCAAATCTAATGAGCTAGATAGCTTCATCACACGAAATAACTAAAAAGATTTTGGTACAATTGGAACCTAAAGAAGCAATCATTTAACAAATGTTTTTATTTCCTATGAAATGACATTATAGTGACTTGTATCTTCAGCAATACAGCTCCAGACTTATATACAAGATGTTATTTAAAGACTATGATGATGTTGTTGTGTCGCAACCATTGGCAATACAGTATAGGTCATATGGCGGCTCTCCAGCTTTTCTGGTACAGGAAGACCTCAGGGGGTCATCCATGCATTATTTCATGCATTATTTCATGCATTATTTCAGGCACAAACAGGCACCTATGTAGAACCACCAACATTCTGTACACTAACTGGATAGCTTCCTCACATGGAAAAATCCAAAGTCCCTGGCAGGGTTCAATCCCACAGCAGTGAGAGGTCAAGTTGTTTGAAATCAACAGCCTTAACCACTCAGCCATGGACACTCCTATGTGGATGTTTGTAAAAAAGACATCTTATATAGCTTAGTTTAACTTCTCCATTCACATGTCATGTTATTTGTATAGTACCTTTATTGCTACAACAATTATATGTCTAAACAGACCATTCCTTTGTAATAAAAAAAATTATGTCATTTCAATTCAAAATTGATTCTTAAGTAAATTAAATTCCCACAATTGGATAATCGCATATTGACTTTAAATTGAATGACTTTTAATAAGTTCAATAAAATGCTTCATTTAAGTGCAGCAGTGTGTTATTGTGGATCAATTATAAAATTAACATCAGCCATCTTTTCCTTTGATTGTAAAACCTTTCATTTCTCTGACAGCTACATGTACAACTAAGACAGCCGTCTGGTAGATCATATCTTTATACTTGACCAACTGAATTTATATAACAGATTTGCCCAACTTAAATTTGGAATAGATATGCAAATTTTAAGGAATTCAAGAATAAAGTACATAAAACTGAGCTAATAACAAATTTAGAGTCTGATCAGTCTGTATACAAGTGCAGACTGGCCTGTCTCTATATTATACTGGGGGCAAAGGTTACTCTCAGTGGACCTTTCCATTTTTTTGTAGCGGAACATTTAGCCACACCTTTTCGATTCATTGCTAGGTCAACTGCTCACAAACAGTATCACAAACATGACCATGTGTTCTTTTGTGCAAACCAGGTCAACCAGTGACTATGTATTATCTCAGTGTAGCAATTGGATAACAAGTTAGCCAATTTACATAAAACTGTAAACACTGGAAAGGTCTATTACTACAGTGAGTACAGAGTTAAAGTTTTATAAAAACAGTAACTTAAGTTTTTTTGTTTTGTTTTTTTGGTGTTTTTTTTTTAATTTCACATCTATGAGATGAACTCTTGTGATCATCAAATCATAAGACAAAATTGAAATCCTTACTTTAAACATTTACTCATTTTTCCATATTTTTTAAAAGGGTAAATTAAATAATAAGAAAATTAATAAAAGTGGAACAAACAATCAACACAGGATAAGTTTTGAGGTTTATGTAATGCTGATAACCGACGAGGGTAAATTAAAATTCATTAAAATTTAAACAATCAAGCAGGCTGCTTTGTTTTTCAATCTCAGACCCAATGGAATGTACTATGAAGACTAGAAATTTTGGAAATTACGGACTCGACAAGACATGGTATATCTGGCCAATTTCGTCAAAACATTCACTTTGATCTATAGACAAAGTGGGACAATACAGACTGATCAGGTGTCTCATAACTGGACATAAGTGTTAAATCTTAAGTTGTTGGTACATTTTTGCAAATTTTGATCAAATATGCCTTTATCTTGCTTTAAAAATTCTATGTAATTACACAGGAACCATAAGTGCACAGTTTTTTTTCCAACTCAGTTTATAATAAACTGTTTCCTTGACAACAACAGCTGTAAACAGTGTGTTTGACTATTGTCAAGGTTTGCTTAGAGAATGGGATCAAGAAAAAGACATCCAGCTTGACTATTTAAAGTACAAAATTTTACCCAACCAATTTTATTTGTTCCATACTATTATGGCATATTGTCCATAATTATATGGTCGATTCTTGAAAGAGAGAATAAATAGAAAAAAATGTTACAGGGCAAAATATTATTCTGGTTTTATCTTTATAGCAATAATTTCATGCATGTCTCATTCGCTAAGAACATTTACTATCAAATTTATTTCAAATAAGCTATCAGTATTCTAAAATTCAAACTATTAATTTTTGCAACAGATTTATAGCTTTATGCACCTTAAAAGTACAACAAAATTACGCTTTAAAATTGAACTAATTTAGTTTCATAGTAATATGTCAAATGGTATATGTCAAAACAATGGGTTGGTACAAATTATTTTTACTAAATATCTAAGTCAAATAGGGGTATAATTATGTCAAAACCTATAGCAGCCGTATGTCTCTTGCCTGGAATTTGGAATTTGGTGCGGTAATAGTCATTAATCATATTCAAAAATTAAGTGTTACTTTAAAGGATATAGAAAAACTGAGAAGAGATACAAATAACTGTTTTGTATTTCTTAATTGAAATGGTGTCAGAATTTTGTCATGTTATATGACGTTTGATATATTTTACAGGGATGATGAGAATTCAGGAATACAGGAATAATGGGGTGGGGGGAGGTACAAAATATTTAGTGAAAATAAAGTAGACATCATTTAATCAAAATTTTGAATGTTTGTTTTTTTAACTGATTTTAACAAATTTTAAGTGATGTCTCAGTGCTAGGTCCATCTCATCATCTTTAAGGTTAACTGATCAGTATTGAGAAACTAGATTAAATTTCAAAATTGTCATATATAGAGAAATTTCGTCTCACTTGAGAATCAATTCACTTAGCCATAGAATACATATCCTGTGAACTCCCTATTGAGCTAAGTGGCCAAACTATTTATTCTTTTAAATACATGTACAGTACAGAGTTATATCTTGACACCAAAATTGCCAAGTTTATAAAGCAGTACTTCAATAGGTTCCGTTAGGTGGGGTGGTGCTGCTGAATTTTTTCTTAATATGGGAAAAGACATTATTGACTGTGTTTGAGATTGTGAAACAACTGAAAAGTTGGACCAGTCGAATTAACAAAGAACAGTCAGGGAAATTACCAACACAAACTTTAGATAGCAGTAGAATGAGAAGAAGTTTTGTTCAGCACTTAAACAAATTCTTGTATTCTATTATAAAAGTTCTATTGAAAATGTCCTCAAATATAAGTAAAGGGGAAGAAGCAAGACAACAGACAACATTAACTATAAAAACATTTTTAATATATGAACTTTATAACTCTTATACATATAATACCTACATAGAACAAACTATATATTTTATATCATAACTTATAACAAAATCTACAAGCACTTTTGTTGGGTCAATACCCGGTGATCTCCCTTGATACAGTCATTTACTAGTTAAATACACTTCAACATAATATTTATATATATACATTTGTACATTTTTTACATTTTTTTGTACATCTCTCAATACTTCAATCATACCTTCACAATTTAAACTTTCATTACAGTCAACTTAAGACAAACATCTCTTCTTTATAAAATTCATCATTTTCTACACTGAAAACATAAAACATTTTCAATACATTTTAAAATCAAGCACTGTCTATCTCTTCTTCAAGATCCAAGGTCTACCAATTCATACATACACCCTACTTTTTTTATATATACCACAATGAATACTCAATATAATTATGTCTTACACAAAGAAATATCATCATTTTTTACACAGACCAATATCATCTATTATGAAAAGGTAATGAAATAAATGGATGGAAAAATTAAAACAATTTATAGTCATAAAATTTATGTCCCTTTAACAAAGTTATTCAATTTCAATTCAATATATTGAAAATTCTAGTTTAATTCACTCTCCAGTCAGTTTATTCTGTACACAGTTTCTATCTTGGTTGCACTAAGGTTTCAGCGAGATACAATGAAAACTCACATGTTCCTGTCATATCATTTTCGTAACTCTTTTTATACTGCTATTTCGAGTCTATTCTTTACACAACTTTGGTTAGGTCTAGGGGTTGACTGTTGCTATGAGACATCCAGAATTCTTGTACATGTTTCACTCTATGTCTAAACAGAGTAAGCAGGGATGCTTTGATCTGTGGGATACACTTCTTCTTCCAGCACTTCATATTAAAGTCAGGGAAATGTTTCTTAACACATCTACGTATGGCTGACATCTTGTTTTTCGACAACTTTTGAAGGTTTAAGCCATTCAACTGATCAAGTGTGAAGAGACGGAACACGAGATCTCGGGCAAGGATAGAGGGCGTGGTCTTACGACAATTCTTTACAACTTCAGCTCGGATGTCTCCTACATTGTCCAAGACATTGTCAAACATTTCGTTCACAAGATTTGATTTCTGCATCAATGCTAACAAATACGTGCTGGAAATCCAGCCTGAGATCACATAAGGTTTAATGTACTTCAGTTGGTCACAAATATCAAACACATTTTCATT